TCCTAATTGATAAGTTTTAATCTTGGATTCTTGCAGGTACTGCAACAGACCATTGCTCTGTTCCTGTAGCTGCAGGAATCTACTATTTTTACATTTTTTTTTCGATATCATAAAGTAAAAATCGGTTATCGAAGTAAAAACTTGCATATTCTTGCAGGTTCTGGAACAGACCATATGTCTTTGCATCATACAACGTTTTGAAAAAGTCTCAATGAAAAAGAAATAGGCTATGTTTTAGAACCTGCAAGAATCTATTATTTTTAAAAATTGTTCGCCATTATAAAGGGGCAATCGGTTATTGTAGTAAAAATGTTTAGATTTTTGCAGTTTTAGAACAGACCAATAATTAACTACTAATAATTGGTCTGTTACAGGATATCAAGAATGTAATTTTTGAAATTTTTCCGTTTGTGCGAAAACCAATATCGAAAAAAGATTTCAAATCTGAGCAGAGCAAATATTTTATAAAAATGACTATTTTACGCTCCTAAAAATATGCTAAAAAGGGAATGGGATTTTCTAAAACCTTTAAATTTGTTTAATTTGTAATTTTAAAGCATAACTTGCACAAAACGCAACAGAAAGTGAAAAGAGAAATAGAGCTGAGCTGAGAGGGTGGGACAACAACAATAATTTTTTTGGTTGATTATTTTTTGACAATCTTATCTCTGAACATTTTCATTTAATCTAAATTACCCCAAAAAGTCTGCAATCTGATTGGTAACCGATAAAACTAATCAGATAATGTTCCCCAAACTCCACCCATTTTAAACAACAACAACAAAAACATCAAAGCCATTTTTTTTTAAGTTTTTTAAATTAAATAATTTCGTTTATTTCCACCTGGGAAAAATTTACAATTCCTTGGCGGTCTTAAGAACCCAGCTGCGGAGAGAAGGAACATCAGCATAGACACCAGGGTAACCAGCCTTGGCACAACCCATACCCCAGGAGACAACACCAACCAATTTGTCGCCAGATACCAATGGGCCACCAGAATCACCTTGGCAGGCATCCTTGTTGACGGCATAGGCACAGACCATGGTCTCCTTGATTTGGGAACCGTATTTGTATTCGCTGGAAGCGCAGGCCTTCTCATCGACAATATCAACTTCGACTTCTTGCAGGGTCTTGGGCAAGCTAACACAGGTCAAATAGCACTTGGTGCCCCAGCCAGTGACAACAGCGGGGGTTCCGGTGGCGGGAGTCTTTTCGGCCAAAGCGACATAACGGATCTTGGCGGATTCTCTGACGGGGGTGGCCAATTTGATGACAGCAATATCGTTAACCATGGTCTTGGAGTTGTAGCCTTCGTGGTATTTGAAAGCCTTGACAGCAACCAATTCACCGCCAGTGTTGTATTCAGTGGAGCCCAAGCGCACCTTCATTTGGGAGGCAGTGTACGATTGCATGCAGTGAGCAGCGGTAACGATGATGTCTTCACTGATGATGGAACCGCCACAGAAATGGCTGCCGGAGGTGGTTTGCAAAGAAACCTGATAGGGATGCTTCTCAATGGTGGTGTCAACACCATTCACAATACGGCCATCCAAATCATCGGGCAAGGTGCCGGCAAAGGCACAGCTGACCAAAGCGAAAACAGCAACGAAACGGAACATCTTGAAAGACTGATGGTTTCAGTATTCGCCGTCAGAGTTTTTATAGGAAGTGAGTTTGGCAAAGCTACCAACTAAATTTGCCAACAAAGTAATCGCTATCTTGATATTGTCATTATTTTCATGGGGTTCTCCGTACTCCATGCAATATTCAAGATAAAATTGTCGCCGACGGCTCAGACTAATTCAATAGTTTTAGGTTAACATAATATTTTTGTAAAATGTGTTGAAATTTGATGATAAGCATATACATAAGTAGTCTGGATTTGTTGTACGATACTTCCAACTGATATGTGAATGATCCAGGAGTTGTTTTTTGCAGGTCATTTATAGACAAATTAATATTTGCCTGAGTTCCGTTTGAAAAAATCAGATAAAGTTTGACAAAATGCATTTCAGCCGTTCTGCCGGTCAAAATGCAACCTACAATCCTAACCTAAAATGTCCATTAAATTGCACACACATACTTGCATATTAAAATGGTACAATAAGAAGGTAAGGTAGAGCTACCAGCTGATTACAATTTTTTTCTAAGTGTGCCCGACTTCTGCCAATCTTGTGTATGTATTTATTGAATCAAGAATATTTTTGCAATGGAATTGAAAAGTTGAACCGTTTGGATTATATTTTTGAGAGAAAATGAAGGCATTTCATTCAGTTTTCGCTATTCTGCCAAAAATCGGGCATAGTCTCTGGGCTGTATTTCTGTAGTTTTTTCGAAGCTGGTCTACCTTCTTATTGTACCATGTATATTTCCGCTCATGGTGCACTAATATTAGGTCTGTCTGCTTACTTTTCTGCAGCAGGTATTATTCAGCAGCTTCTTTCACAAATATTTCTCGACACAATGGAACCATTCCCAGAGTTCTAAGTTTTTTTTTAGTTTCCGAGATATTTGCGTTTGTAGTTGAAGGTCAATAGCCAACTTTGTGCGGCAAGAATATGCAAACTCTTACACTGCCTTTACACGGTGACATTTTTTAACCATGCCATTTTTTTTTTTTTTGTTGGTAAAGGGTGTAGAGAGACAAGGATAGAAGAAAAAATGGCACGAGAAGCCACCGCACAGAGTTACATGCCACTCTCTTTGCATTTCTCTTTTTGCTTCTTCCGAATTTTTTATGATTTTGACATTTCATATCGTTTCTTTATTGTAATTTTTGATGCGTTTCTTTTATTGTGATGTGATGTTTTTAGTGATTGAATTGTATAGTGAATTATATAAAAATTAATTGGAAGTATTAAAAAGTAAAAAAAGAAAGTTAAAATAAAAGTTAATAATGCAATATTTAACACCTCAATAACTTTTTCCATCATTTCTTCTTTAGATTCACACATTTCATTTTAAATCACTTCTTTATAAATATCTGTTACAAACAATTAGCTCTATACGAAATACTGAATAAAATAAAATGTCAGAAAAAATGCCAAGCACTATTATCGTAAAATGTCACCGTGTAAAGGCGCGAAGATTTACGCAGAAATTTTAAAAGAGAATTTATAAAAATGCCAGCTAAAAATGCCACCGTGTAAAGGCAGTGTTAGTAAAATTGTTCTGTAAATTATCTCTCTCTCTCTCTCTCTCTCTCTCGAAACGCTCTCTTTTGCAGTACCTGTGTGTTAACAGGCGATTTCCAGCAACAACTTCCAACAATTATTACTCAGAATTGGTGGGTGCCACAGAGAATGTAAATATTCATTGCAAAACTTTTGGTTATTCGTAGTCACCCTGTTTTTTTCGTGAAAGTACACCATTAAGATTGACGCAACAATCATTGTGTTGCATAATGCAACTAAATTATGATTTATCAGATTTCTGGTTAAGATAAATATTTGGATATAGCAAGCTGTAAAGAATCGATGGCTTGTTTCGCAAGTTATGACAAATAAAATAATTGAAAATTGTGAACCTTTGTAGGTGAGGCACCAGAAGGAGAGATTTGGATCTTTATTTCGTATTTTTTGAGGTTTTTTTTAATACCTTGAACCCTATGTGGGGGAGGTACAAGAAGAAATGGTCCGATCTCTACCATCTTTATAAAATATCTGGTGTTGATAGAAATATTGAGACCTGCTAAGTCTGGATGGAATCGGATTTAATTTTTGCATTTTATGAGCATAATTGATATTCAAAATTATGACCCTTTGTGGGGTGGTACTAGAAGGAGTGCCATAATATATCACAGATTCACACCAGACCTGGAGTTAGTAGAAATACTGGGACGTGTGTAATATGAAGAGAATCGGAAGCTTATTTCGGATTTTATATTTGTTTTGGTTATTCAAAACTCTGACCCTTTGTGGGGGAGATTTGCCAAGTCTGGATGGAATCGGGTTTTAATTTCGCGTTATATGAGCTTCATGGACATCGCTACATCTGCTCCAAATGCCCTGAAAGGGATTTGGTCCAAAGAGACCTGGGGTCTAAAACCGGTATTTCGATGAGACACGTTTTGGCCCTATCAAATGATATACACCCTCTGTAGTCATATGGCTGAGGCTATGAAAATAGTTTGAGAAAAAAAAAAACTGCTGATATGTTAGTTCCACAATCTGATATTAATACAAAGTCCGTTATTAAAGACCACAATAACTGACACCCATTCAAACTTCGCTTACAATGTTGGTGGAATCGGACCTATTCAATCTTCCCTTACAATGTGGATATATTTCAGACCCATCCAACATTTGCTTTGATCCTTGGTAAATTTCGTATGATGGGCAGGGTTGCTATAACGTGTCTCTCTCACTCTCTTTTTTACACTCTAATCCAAGGCTTAAAGTGAGAATAGATAAATAGCTTGGCATCATGCATAGACATATTAATGTCAAATTATAAGGGGGAACGACAGCAGAATTTGAGTGCGGCTCTGGCATTACTTTATGATATGTCACAAAATATGTCATGCGAAGACTTCAAGCTGCCTTTAGTGTTATCTCTTGATCTGCAAAAAAAGAGTTTTCTTTTCGAGGAATCAATTTAAGAGAATGTATCATAGTGTGCTTGCTTTCTAGCGGATTTAATAAACCCAGGTGATTGGAATTGTCAATTCTGCCAAATAAATCCTCAAAAATTGAGGTTAGCTCTTTCAAAACGCTCCAATGTAAACATACTATTATTAGATTTATTATTTTACTCTTCACAGTATTTTGAAATTTAAAAATTCAATTAGATAAAGTCAAATCAATAAAATCGAATTTGAAATTCATGATATGTCACTGGCAGGGCCAAAATCTTATCTAAAAATGCATTTTGCCAGAAATTGAACAAAAAAAAAATCAACAAAATATCAAGTTTATGATATGACTGGCCACAAATACATACAACGTAGCCCTCCTGCTGATTTTGTTGCTATAAAACCAAGGGCTATCATCGCCAGGAGCAATAGTCTTTTTCCCTGGAGTAAGACAACAAGAACAAGTTCCGTTTTGTTACAATTTGCGCCTTGGTCAGCTGTGCCTTTGCCGGTACCCTGCCCGATGAATTGGATGGCCGTATTGTGAATGGTGTTGACACCACCATTGAGAAGCATCCCTATCAGGTTTCTTTGCAAACCACCTCCGGCAGCCATTTCTGTGGCGGTTCCATCATCAGTGAAGACATCATCGTTACCGCTGCTCACTGCATGCAATCGTATGCGGCCTCTCAAATTAGAGTACGTCTCGGTTCGAACCAATACAATAGCGGCGGTGAATTGGTTGCTGTCAAGACATTCCGCTACCATGAGGGTTACAACTCCAAGACCATGGTGAATGACATTGCTGTCATCAAATTGGCCACTCCCGTTAGAGAGAGCTCCAAGATTCGTTATGTCGCCATGGCTGAAAAGACGCCACCGACTGGCACTCCTGCTGTTGTCACTGGCTGGGGCACCAAGTGCTATTTGACCTGTATTATCTTGCCCAAGACCCTGCAAGAAGTCGAGGTTGATATTGTCGATGAGAAGGCATGTGCTTCCAGTGAATATAAGTATGGTTCGCAAATCAAGGAGACCATGGTCTGTGCCTATGCCGTTGACAAGGATGCCTGTCAGGGTGACTCCGGTGGTCCATTGGTTTCTGGCGACAAATTGGTTGGTGTTGTCTCCTGGGGTATGGGTTGTGCCCGTGCTGGTTATCCCGGTGTCTATGCTGATGTTCCATCTCTGCGCAGCTGGGTTGTTAAAACCGCAAAGGAATTGTAAATGTCCTTGGAAATTTTTGCCTTTTTTTGGAAAAGAGAATTTAATCTCTTTAGTTAAAAAATATATATATTTCAAAAATAAAGCATGGTGAAATTAAAAAGGTAAAGTCATCTCAAATAAGACTATCCATCTCTGTATTGTCTGTAATTTACCTTGTCGAATTTCTGTGAATAAAAAACAGGTTTCCATCTTTGAAAAAAAAAACTTTTAAACATCTGGTTGCATGACCTTACCTTCTTAATTCTACCATGAAATGAAGTGAAAAATAATGTAAATGGTCTAAAGGTGGGAAAACATAAAGCGCTTATTTGGCTGACTTAAGTCATAGGCTGGCTTTTTCGTAGAGAAACAAAGGAGTTTTAGGTTGACTTAGTTCGATTTTGGCACTAGGCTCCTTTGTTCACTTCCGAAGAAGCCTGCCAAATAAGCGCTTTGTGTATTCCCACCTTAATATGGGGAAGTGAAAGTGAGAGTACATAAAATGCTTTTTTGGCTGGCTTAAGTCATCGGTTGGCTTTTTCGTAGAGGAACAAAGGAGTTTTAGGTTGACTTAGTTCAATTTTGGCCCTAGGCTCCTTTGTTCATTTTCGAAGAAGCCAGCCGATAACTTATGCCAGCCAAATGAGCCCTTTATGTATTCCCACCCTAATATGGGGAAGTGAGAGTACATAAAATGCTTTTTTTGGCTGGTTTTTTCGTAGAAGAACAAAGGATTGTTAGGTTGACTTAATTCAATTTCAATTTATTCCTTTTCACACTGCACTCCTTTGTTCTCAAATGAAGAAGGCAGCAGCTGGCTTAGGCCAGTCAAAAAAGCATTTTATATATTCCGACGATGGTAGAATTAAGAAGGTAAGCTCATGAGCATTCCAGACTTGGTTAGATACAAGTCTTACTAGGGGGGGGGGGCGTATACGTTGTGACAGTACGTATACTTTCATGGGTCCATTAAAGCTACTTCTACATATCCCCAAGTATGACTTTGAAAGTCCTTTACGAAATTTCTAAAAAATAGATATTTAATGCTTTCGTTAAAAGTCCTTCCAAAAAAGCTACATAGAAATTATCGTTTAGGTCCATGAAATTTATGCAACAAATAATATTTTTTAATATTTGCGTTATTTGCTCGGAAATCTTTTCACAAAAATCCATAGAAATACGCATATTCTACTCTAAATTCTTACGAAAAGTGTCGCTACAAAAAATCCCTATTTTTTGTTCTGCTGCGCCTTGGAAGACTATTCCTTAAATACCCATTTCATTGAAACCAATGGACGTATACGTATCAACAACACTCATACGCACCGGTGTACCATTAAATTACTTCCTTGTGCTTCTTTTTTTTAATTTGAATGACTTACGCCACTTTTATGCTCAAGGGATCTTGCTTCTTTTCAATCTTGTCACCTTATTTTTAACAATCTGAACTCATGCAGACATCTAGTTATATTTGTATAGCCATGTTGTCTATGTGTCTGGAAAAAAATAACAAACACGCTACATTATCTCCTACACCCCCCTCCTAAAAAAACGATCTAGATAAACCCATTTTGTTTTAGATAATTCTGAAAACAAAAGAAATTCAAGTTTAATAAGGTGGAGATAAAGCTGACAGCTAAATAGACTTGATAATATTTTTTCGCCAAAAACAAAAATGACGATGACGCAGGACAATGACCACGCGACTCTTTCTTTGACACGTTCTTTGTTGTTGTTACTTTTCTGATTTTGTTAATCGCAAAAAAAAAAAATAATTGAGACGATAGTAAAATTCACTTGAAATGTATGGACATAAAAATAGATAACAAAGAAAAAAAAAACAAACAAATAAATAAACAAAGTAATTGAAAATAAGAATCGGATTTGTTTTTGGGACATATGTCACCTGATTTTTAAGCTAGATATTTCGTAGTTATCTAGGAAGTAAAATATTTTAAGCTTAAGGTTCTATTCTGGGCATTAGATTAGGATTATCGAGTTGCAATTGACCGTATAAGTGACTACCATATTTAGGGGTAATATTTTTAAGGCCACAAATGAAAATTCTAAGGAAATATATATTTTTTTTTTTTGAAAAGTCTCTGAAATAATATAAATTGGCTCATGGCTCTGAAATTAATTCAATTTATGTTTCTTTAAATCCGCAATTTTATATAAATGTTATTTTTTTATTTTTTTAGGTAAATTAAAAAAAAACATATTTATATTAACAAATTTAAGACCAAATTTTTAAAAGTCTCTGAAATAATATAAATTGGCTCATGGCTCTGAAATTAATTCAATATATGTTTCCTTAAATCCGCAATTTTATATAAATGTTTTTTATTTTTTTAGGTAAATTAAAAAAATCTTGTTTACATTAACGAATTTAAGACCTCGAAACATCGTCCAAACATTTTTCCTGAAACCCACATTAAAAGCTCGAAAGAAGGACCACAAAAGAAAGTTCTAGGGAAATTATTTTTTTATTTTTAAAAGTCTCTGAAATAATGTAAATTGGCTCATCGCTCTGAAATTAATTCAATATATGTTTCCTTAAATCCGCAATTTTATATAAATGTTCTTTATTTTTTAGGTAAATTAAAAAAATCTTGTTTACATTAACGAATTTAAGACCTCAAAACATGGTCCAAACATTTTTCCTGAAACCCATAGTACAAGTTCTTCAACAGTTGCAAAAAAAAAATCTTCTTTGGTGAAGACTTTGAGGTTTTCTATGGAGAAGTCCTTCTAGGGCTGGATTCTTGTTCTATGAAAATATGAAATGAAAAATATTTCCTTTATAGCATTTTTCCTTTGATATTTCTTTCCTTTATAAAAGTTTTCATTTCACATTTTCATAGAACAAGAATTGAGGCTCTGGTCTTGTCTTGTATGGATAAGACCTTCTGCCTTCTATAAAGAAGAACTTCAGGTCTTCTATCGAGGAGATCTTGTGGTCTTCAATAACGAAGACTTTCATATCTTCTTTAAAAAAGACAATTTAATGAGGACTTCCTTTCCACGTAGAAGACCTTTCTATCTGCTAGAGAGAAGAATTTTTGTCCTGAATGAGCAAGACCTCTTGATATTTGATGAAGAAAACCTGCTGGTCTTCTATGCAGAGAACCATCTAGTCTTCTGTGGAGAGAACCTTTGAATATCCTCTGGGAGGGGGGATCAACTTGTATTTTATAGTTAAAACAATGTGATCTTCTGTGGAGGGAAGCTACAGGCCTCCTGTGGGAAAGTACCTTTGGGATTCTCTGGAGAAGACCGGTTCCGGTCTTCCGTAAAGGAATCCTTCTGGTCTTGGTCATTGGAGCGCATAAGTGTTGCCGTTACGTAGACCACCAAATGTACCATGACATATACTTTGCAAATGTACCATGACATATACTTTGCAACAACAATTATACGACCCCTGGAAATACCCACCCCAACGTTTTTATAAATCAAAATCACAATCGAAATAATGTTCACAGATATTTCATATATATTTTTCATTGATCACTGCAATACGTTTAAACAGAACTAGCCGCAGCAATGACCCAAGAACGTAGGGCAGCAACATCGGCATAGACACCAGGATAATTGGCAAAGGCACAGCCATAACCCCAGGAGACGACACCAACCAAAACACCACCCGACACCAGGGGACCACCAGAATCACCCTGGCAGGCATCCTTACCGGTGGCATAGGCACAAATCATGGTCGATTTCACTTCCGAACCATAACCGTAGGCCGATGATGAACATTGACTTTGGCTAACAATATGCACGCTGACATATTGCAATGTTGTGGGTAGAGATGAGGAACCCGACTGCTGGGTACCCCAACCCGAAACAACAGCTGCAGCACCATTGGCAGGAGCCTTGGTGGCCAAGGCAATCGACTTGATGGTCGATCCAAAGTTCAGCGAAGAACTCAAACGTATGACAGCAATATCGTTGACCATGGTGCGGGAATTGTAACCTTCGTGGTTCTTGAAAGCAGCCACCGAGACCAAAGTACCACCAGAATTCCAGTAGGTAGAGCCAGCACGTACCCTCAAGGCAGAGGCGGAAACAGATTGCAAACAATGAGCAGCGGTCACAATGATCCTGGCCGAGTAGACGGAACCGCCGCACGAGTGGGAGCCGAAACGTTGCAGCGACACTTGCCAGGGATATGAGTTGATGGTTGTGGCCACACCGCCAACAATGCGGCCATCCAATTGCGGCAACATACCCTCAGGTACGGCAGCACCCAGGGTAGAGGCCACCAGAGCGCTTAAGAGGACTACCAACTTCAACATGATTTCCAATGTCTTCAACTTGGCGAGAAGAACTGATATTTTCTCTGCCAATTGTGAGAAGTATTTATATGCGAGACAATGCATTCCATTGCACCAAGAATTTTGCACTTCCAATTCTTTATCTAATCAATGTAATACTGGAGCTTACAGTTGATATTAGAGGGTTTTGGTAGTTCTTGTAAATATTTGTGGTAATTTTGTTGAAATGTCTTAAGAGACCCATTATTGATTGATAGTGGGCTTAAGATGTCTAAGGGCTTTTTGAAAAAAAAAAACAAAATGAATATATGATGGAAAAGTTTTGGAAAATATTCGCAAATGTCAGTAAGGAATTACATACTTATTCCGAATTTATTAAGTCTCCGTTTGTTGGAGAGTGAGAGGTAAGGGGAAGGGAAATGGCAAAAAAAAATTGTTCGTACTGGGAATTTTCTGGTAATTCTTTTGTGTTTTTATTTTTACACAAAAATATAAACAACAATGACAAGACAGTTATGAGAAAATGGAATTGCTGTTTTGGGTTACAGATTCAAATTCTCCTTGGTGTGGAACTCTTCAAAACCAAAAAAAAAAAAAAAAAACATGCAAATATATTGACATGGTAGATGAGTCAAGAAACTCGTTGGTATCTATCCAAAATATTATCTCAAATAAGAAATCGGAAATTTATCTCCTGATCCTCTCTAAAGCATTGAAATATCTTAAGGTTTGATGACGTATAACTAACGACAATGCTCATACGCACCATAAGCCTTCTCAAAGGAGACATTTTTTATTGATATAAAAATATTGCATGTTTATGGGCGCAGAGAAGAAGAGAGAGAGAATATTTATAACATAAATAATTAATTTTAATTTAAATAATTCAAAACATCTGATAATTCAGCTGCAGTGTGAATAATATGCAATTTGGTAGGGTGCGTATGAGTACTGCCGTTACTTATATTTCGATTTCCGATAATGTAAAATTTCGAGTGCTTTGATTTTCATGAAATTACACGTGCCTAGAAATTTATCTACGCACGACGTTCGTCGAGAGGGGTGATAAACCAAGCGTAAAGTAGTAAAAGTAAAAATAATATTATTTTGAGTGGTCGAGAAGCTCAAGGAATTTGGGCAAAGAACACTCATTTATGATTTCTGAGGTGTTGAGTAATGCCCTATTTCTACATCCAGAATATATGGCAAAAATTAAAAAATAAAAAGAAAACCTCAATAAATCTGTATTGGGCGCTACTTTGGATTCATTACATATCCGCAATCTGGTTTTAGGCCTTACAGTTACTTGGACTTACAGTATTGGACTGGCGCCCAATGGAGCGTTATTGAAATGTTTGCCAAGCCTTAAAAGGTTCTTTGAATTCGAAGCTATAATTTCGATACATTATTTTGCAATATGTTAGCATTCTCCGATTTCCAGTTTCTTTTTGATTTTTTAGTTTGGAATGTAGCTTTCCAGTTCATTACTCAAAAAATTTGTGGCCAAGAAAGCCGAGTGAGATCATCAAGAAATTTGAACTATATTTACCATGCCATCGGTTACTTGGGTATTGAAGTGGCGCCCAATATCGAATTATTAGATTTTCTCAAATATTGCCACATTTCCTGGAATCATGAATCAATCCAGCAGTTCAGAAATCTAAAATGAACCCAGCATCTCAGAAATCGAACATCAATACTCGTCATTTAGGTTCCTTAAACTGGTGCCCAAGTCAGAATTGAAGTGGCGCCCAATATGGAATTATTAGATTTTCTCAAATATTGCCACATTTCCTGGAATCATGAATCAATCCAGCAGTTCAGAAATCTAAAATGAACCCAGCATCTCAGAAATCTAACATCAATACTCGTCATTTAGGTTCCTTAAATTGGCGCCCAACTCAGCATATTTATTTATTTTTTTTACAAATTTGGGTTCTCGAAAATTTTTCAAAACTCTTCTTTGTCTAGACTTTTTGTATTTAAATATTTTTTTTCAATTCTTTTACACGAAAATCCTTTTTGAAAAATCCACGTTTGAGTCACTTTAAGGTCCTCTAAAAATATTTAAAAAAAATCCAAGCTAAGATCATTGAAAACCCTTGGAAAAATATCTGTTAAATCTAAACTCTATTTACGTTGCCGTTGATTTTTGAGAATTAACGTAGCACCCAATAGAGAATGCGATGTATTTTTTTTTTTTCAATTTTTTTCCACATTTCCTAGATATAGATTTAATTTTCTTGGCTTTTTAGAGTTCTACAATTAATATTCTTTGACTGGGTCCCTTGGGCATTACACTGGCGCCCAATTCAAGATTATTTTTTCCAAAGTTTTAACTTCGAAAATCCTTTGAAAACTCTTCAAAAATCCACGTTTGAGAGTCTATAGGGTTCTCCAAAAATATTTTAAAAAAATCCAAGCCAAGATCTATGAAAGCCCTTGGAAAAATATCTGTAAAATCTAAACACAATTTTTTTTGGCATTGATTTATTGGCTATTGAAGTGGCGCCCAACACAGAACTCTGTGTATTTCTTTGAAGTTTTTCCACATTCCCTAAATATAAAATCAGAGCAGCGTCCCCGAAATCTACCCTAAAAAAATTGTGGCCAAAAAAGCCGAGTGAGATCATCAAGAAATTTGAATTATGAAGTGGCGCCCAATAAGGAATTATTAGATTTTCTCAAATATTGCCAAATTTTCTAGGTTCCTTGGGTATTATGGTGGTGCTTATTCAGCATTACTATTTTTTCCTAAATCCTTCAAAATATGTGCTCCAAAATCCATACGAATTAAAATGTTACAATTCTCAATACTTAAACTTATCTGCAAGTCTGGGAATTCCACCGAGAATTCCTTTGGACTGTTTTCGTTGTTGTTCATCTTCGTAATTATTATTGCACTATCAGTAGATATGACATTGCATTGCACTTCAAATTGTAATCCCCCACTCGATCCATGTAATTTTTTTTTTTCAATTAGATAAGCATTTCAGGAGGACATTTTTGTATAAATACCACGATACTGCGTTCGAAATGCATTCCCAGTTTGAATTCGTGTTGAATGATGTTGAAGAGCGTAGTATTATTGGCCTGCATTGCCTGTGCCTTGGGCGCTGCGGTACCCGAGGGTATGCTGCCTCAATTGGATGGTCGCATTGTGGGTGGTGTTGCCACAACCATTAATTCTTATCCTTGGCAAATTTCTCTGCAACGCAGTGGTTCCCATTCCTGTGGTGGTTCCGTGTATTCGGCCAACATTGTTGTGACCGCCGCCCATTGCCTGCAATCGGTTTCCGCTTCGGTTTTGAAGGTACGTGCTGGTTCCACCACCTGGAATGCTGGTGGTACTTTGGTCTCGGTGGCTGCTTTTAAAAATCACGAAGGCTACAATTCCTGGACCATGGTCAATGATATTGCTGTCATCCGTTTGAGTTCTTCGCTGACTTTCGGTTCGACCATCAAGTCCATTGGTTTGGCCAGCAAGGCCCCAGCCAATGGTGCTGCTGCTGTTGTCTCCGGTTGGGGTACCCAATCTTATGGTGCCGGTTCCTTGCCCTACACTTTGCAATATGTTGATGTTAGCATTGTTAGCCAGGCCTCTTGTGCTTCGTCGACTTATGGCTATGGTTCGGAGGTAAAACCCACCATGATCTGTGCCTATGCCAAGGGTAAGGATGCCTGCCAGGGTGATTCGGGTGGTCCATTGGTGTCGGGTGGTGTTTTGGTTGGTGTTGTCTCCTGGGGTTACGGTTGTGCTTTTGCCGATTATCCTGGTGTCTATGCTGATGTGGCTACCCTGCGTTCTTGGGTTGTCAGTGCCGCCGGCTCGGTTTAGGGCACGAGATGCTACGAGAAGCTTTGAAGAAGTGAAATAAAGATCTATATATTCAAAATAATATTATGTTTAATTATTTCTTCCCATGAGAAGGAGGCATATTTTTGTTGGGTTTGGTTGGGTTGACTTAAATAACTCATGGAAGGATATATCCAGAAATACATATCGACAACAGTCTATGAAGCACCTCCATGACAAATATTAAATGTTCCATAAAAAATGCAAAAGAAATGTGTAAAAATTGAGCATTTATGGTGGTTTGGGGCCGGTGTCGAATTGGCGCCCTATTTCACACAATTTTGCCAAGCTTTGAAAGTTTACTCAGATTGGAATCTAAAATTCCTGTATAGTCTTTTGGTAGACTTCTTGCTTGTTGAGCTGAGTCCAGATTCTTTGTCCATGAAATTTAGCTACATTGGAGGTAATACATAATAATTTCATATTGGGCGCCAGTTCATAACCCAAAAAACTGATGGCAAAGGAAACAATGTGCAAATCTGCAAGAAATCTGAACTCTATTTAATTTGCTCTAAATCTGAACTCTATTTAATGGGAACTGAAGTGGCGCCCAATTCAGCATTGTTGTGTTTTTTTTTTCAAATGTTTCTAGGATATGAAATCAGGGCTCCAATGTACGTCCTTGAAATCTAAAAGACTTATTTCTTGTCCTAGGTTGCTAAGGTATAGAACTGGCGCCCAACTACAAATTTTTAAACATTTTTTCCATTTTTTTCTGATTTGTTGGATATTGGAATTAGGACCTAATTCAACCCGGAAGTTAAAAATCAGTATTTTTGCCTGAGACTCTTTGGGCATTCAAGTGGTGCCCAAGGGAACGTGAAAAGCCTAGGTCGGTTATGAGCTTGTACATTAACGATGGCTCGCTCCAACATTGAAAAATCGATAAAAATGTATTCCTTTCGTCTCGTCCCATTTAGCTTGGGCGCCACAACTTGATTCCCAAAAAAAAAAAATTAAACACCACACACTTATTTATCGTATGCCGTTTTTATTCACATCATAATTTAAACAGAGTTGGCAGCATTGACAACCCAGGAGCGGAGAACAGCAACATCGGCATAGACACCAGGATAGTTGGTGTAGGCACAGCCATAACCCCAAAAGACAACACCAACCAAGACACCACCAGAAACCAATGGGCCGCCAGAGTCACCTTGGCAAGCATCCTTACCAACAGTGTAGGCACAGATCATGCTGGACTTGATTTCCGAACCATAACCATACGAAGAGGAGGCACATTGGGTGGTACCAACTATCTTGACATCGACATAACGCAATTGGGTGGGAATGGAGGAGAAGCCATACGATTGGGTACCCCAACCAGACACCGAGGCAGAAGCACCATTAGCAGGAGCCACAGTAGCCAAACCAAGTTTAAAGATTGCAATAATTCATGCCTAAAAAAGTGATCACAAATAATAGCTAAAAACCCCGAAATGTCAATATTTAAGGAGTTATGGCCATTTTAAAGTTTGCAATAATTCATGCCTAAAAAAGTGATCACAAATAATAGCCGAATTTCCATAAACATCTCGAAGTATTTCGAACTCTTCACCTTTGCTAAATATATAACAATGGCTTTCTGCCAAATCAGTCCTAACCAGTTAGAGTATCTCGATAATAAAATGTTTAATAAAATGACACTAGACATAATTATCTGATTTGGCGAAAAGAAAACACTTCAACACTTTTGGCTTTAAAATAGAGGGAAATTCCAACACTCGGGTGTCGTCATTAGATAAGATTACAATTTACTTTGAAAAAAGAAAGATAGAAAAAAATAAAGATCTAAAAATAATACAGCCGATTTTAGATGATATTTAAATAATGTACTTCAGGACGTAAGGGTGTTGACGTAACGTATACGTCAGCTGGTACTGATGGATGGACAAAGAACAGCATGAGTTTGCAATATGTGGCGGTATTTATTTATTAGTGATAATTTTTATTTGTAAATAATTTTCACTCATAGCGAAGATGCTGCCCTAATAATCCAGGGTCGCAGGGCAGCCACATCAGCATAGACGCCCGGATAATTGGCAAAGGCACAACCATAACCCCAGGAAACAACACCTACCAAGAGACCACCCGACACCAATGGCCCCCCGGAGTCACCTTGACAGGCATCCTTGCCCTTGGCATAGGCACATATCATTGTGGGTTGAATTTGCCAACCATAACCATAAACAGGTGAAGCACAAGACGCGGCACTTACAATACTAACCTCCACATATTGTAAGGTGTCAGCCAAAGAACCAGAGGCAAAAGATTGGGTACCCCAACCCGAGACAACAGCTGCTGCACCGTGTAATGGAGCCTTGGTGGCCAAACCTATTGGCCGTATAGTGGAACCAAACTTTAGGGAAGAACTTAAACGCAGCACAGCTATATCATTGGCCATTGTCCAGGAACTGAAACCTTCGTGAGCTTTAAAGGCGGCAATCGACAACAAAATTCCACCTTCATTCCATGTCGAGGATCCAGCACGAACCTTCAGAACTGAGGCGGTAACATCCTGCAAGCAATGGGCTGATGTGACCACAACATTCGCCGCATAGATGGCGCCACCACAGGAATGCGAACCACTGCGTTGCAGGGAGATTTGCCAGGGATGAGAATCAATGGTTGTGGCAACACCGCCCACAATTCGACCATCCAATTGAGGCAGCATGCCCTCAGGAATGCCAGCCCCTAGAATCGAGGTTATGGAGGCAAGTAAAATGAATACTTTTAACATTTTTTCTTAAAACAAACAAATATTACTTTCGCCGAAGCCTCCAACCTCTTGTATTTATACACATGGAAGCAGTAAGACATCCAGAACCAGGGTGGGGGGTCAATTTGTTAGTTGTTTGTTATTGATGGTATTTAGTTACAAAATAACCGATAAAATCAACCATAAATTTTAAGGTGTTGCGATTGTGGAATCCCATGCCTCCTACATTGCAGATAACAGCAATGTATGTCTTACAGTCCCATGGTGATATTCTATTAAATGTAGTGAAAGAAATAGGCTCTGGATATGGAACTACAATTTCAGCTCCTTGTCTTTTTATTCTTTATTCGGGCATCGATCTGAAAAATCCTAATATTTTCAAAAAACATTTAAAGGAATTTAAAAACAGAAAATTATTAATAATTCTCATGATTTCCGGTTAATAAAGGCTGGGTTCCATAGGGCGTATACATGTTGACAACACTCATGCGCCAACATAGTTTCTAGGCATTTAAAGGTATTTCAGGGCTCTTATCGGGCTCCAATATTTTCAAAAAGAAAACATTTGATAGGCTTTAAAAACCAAAAATTATTAATAAATATCATGATTACTGGATAATAAGGGCTGGGCTCCATAGGACGTATACATGCTGACAACACTCATACGCCAGTGAAGTTTCTAGGCATTTTCTGGCATTTGAAGGGATTTCAGGGGTCCTCAAAACAGGCACTTCAGGAATATTTTATAATAGACTTTTTTTTAAGGATAATATTTATGGGACCATATGAACCGAAAACTTTTTCTTACAGAAGACCTTGCCGATTTTTCATAAGTGGTAACATGTTCTATAATTGCTTGGCTTTTCACGATTCCACCCATAATAAAAAACAAAAATAATTAAAGTATCTGATCGTATTTCTTTATTCATATCGTAATTTAAACAGAGTTGGCAGCATTGACAACCCAGGAGCGGAGGACAGCAACATCGGCATAGACACCAGGATAGTTGGTGTAGGCACAGCCATAACCCCATGAGACAACACCAACCAAGACACCACCAGAAACCAATGGGCCGCCGGAATCACCTTGGCAAGCATCCTTACCAACAGTGTAGGCACAGATCATGCTGGACTTAATTTCCGAACCATAACCATACGAAGATGAGGCACATTGGGTGGTACCAACAATCTTGACATCGACATAACGCAATTGGGTGGGAATGGAGGAGGAGCCATACGATTGGGTACCCCAACCAGACACCGAGGCAGAAGCACCATTAGCCGGAGCCACAGTAGCCAAACCAATAGCCTTAATGGTGGAGCTCATAGTCAAGGAGGAGGACAGGCGGATGACGGCAATATCGTTAACCATGGTCTTGGAGTTGTAACCTTCATGGTTCTTGAAGGCGGCAACAGAAACCAAGGTACCACCAGAGTTCCAATAGGTGGAGCCAGCACGAACCTTCAACACCGAAGCGGACACCGATTGCAAGCAATGAGCAGCGGTAACAATGATCTTGGCAGAGTACACAGAACCACCACAGGAGTGAGAGCCGGAACGTTGCAATGAAATTTGCCAGGGGAAGGAGTTGATGGTGGTGGCAACACCGCCCACAATACGTCCATCCAATTGGGGCAACATACCATCAGGTATGGTGGCGCCCAAGGCACAGGCAAGAGCCGATAACAGAATTACAAATTTGAACATGTTGATGCACTAGAATCAACTACTGGTGTCCAATACCAACAACATCGCTTTTATAATCCACTAACAATTCATGGCCCAAACTCCCCAAAAAAATACTGCGCAATTTCTTAAGTAGCTGATAAGGATTATCTAATATTTTGCCAAAAAAAATCACACAACTCATTGTCGGCAAATTAGCCATAGGTACCTGTCATCTAACTGTCACAAATTTTGGTATTATCAACTGTGAAATGCTAATCGCAGGTATTTGAAGCGGTGACATACTTTTGCAGCGGATTAATGACAAAAATCTTTTGTCAAATTTTTATTGAACGCCCACTTTCGATTTTCTCTGGGATGGAAAGGACAAAGGTGAAAGAAAACACACATAGGCAGAATTGTATTCTTGTTTCGAGAAAATTTAGGTAGCCTAAGCCTCATTTGAATTAGAGCGTATTTTTCAAATGTTTTTCGCAAATAGTAATGTTTGTGTTCCCATTGGTGTTTCAGTGGTAAGACTTGTAAAAGACACAATTACCCTCCACCTATGACAGATCCAGTACACTATGTAGCAAATGGCGCCCAACACAAGGCAATCAACTGAGAACAATAATTTTAACATTCAATGAAATAGAAATAATAAGTTTGTCTCAGTTCTCCATATTTTGCAATAATTTCTACAAAAGGTTTGTAGGTGCCTGTGATGGTAACAAATCTGGTCCAACAACGGAAAAAATTAACTTTTCAATTAAAATAGGATCAAAATTGGGTTAACTGAAAAGCTAAGAAAGTATTGGTCGCCATTACCCCCTGCCTATGGTTGTGCTGGTAAATAATATACCTAATATTGGATAAATCGTATACTAAATGGCGCCCAACGCAAGACAGACAGTTGAGAACAATTAGATTAATGTTTAGTATATGAAATCTTCAAAGAAATTTCCAAAAAAAATTATCTTTATATTTAGTGTTCTGCAACTAAAATGCGTGTACTGGATAATTGCAATATTTTCTATAAAATATTATTGGAAGCCTGTGATGTTAAATTATTGATCGAACAAATGAAAAGAATGATTTTTTTTTAAATGGGCCAACAAGTTAATGATTTTAAGGGGCGCCAACGTCGCTTTACTAAAAAAAGTCCGTTTCGAAAATTCGCGATGGTGGCTCAGCACATTTTCCAAACTATTTCCAAAAATGCATGTGAACGAATCTGAAAGTCTTTAAGGTGTGGATACATTTGCAGCTTGACATCATGGCTTGGCATATTAATGTCAAATTAGAAGGGAAAACAACGGCAGTGCTCATGTGTGCACAATATCTTTGAACCATTTTGTATTACCTTCGGCCCATTATTTATTAGGCCTATTGCCCATTTTCAGTCATAGAACAAAAAAAAACTACGAAAATGTTTGATTAATGTAAAGAAAATATCGAAAATTTATTTAAGTTCGTAATTAAATTTATACAGAGGAAGCAGCGCTAACAACCCAGGAGCGGAGGGCAGCAACATCAGCATAGACACCAGGGTAGTTGGTGTAGGCACAGCCATAGCCCCAGGAGACAACACCAGCCAAAACACCACCAGAGACCAATGGGCCGCCAGAGTCACCTTGGCAGGAATCCTTACCAACAGTGTAGGCACAGATCATGCTAGCCTTAATTTCAGAGCCATAACCATAGGTGGAGGAAGCACATTGGGTGCGGCCAACAATCTTAACATCGACATAACGCAATTGAGTGGGGATGGAGGAGGAGCCAGAAGATGTGGTACCCCAACCAGAGACGGTGGCGGCAGCGCCATTAGCGGGAGCGGTGGAAGCCAAGGAAATAGCCTTGATGGTGGAGCTCATGGTCAAGGAGGAGGACAAACGGATGACGGCGATATCGTTAACCATGGTCTTGGAGTTGTAACCTTCGTGGTTCTTGAAAGCGGCAACGGAAACCAAGGTACCGCCAGAGTTCCAGTAGCTGGAGCCAGCACGAACCTTCAAGACGGAAGCAGAAACGGATTGCAAGCAATGGGCAGCGGTGACAATGATCTTGGCAGAGTACACGGAACCACCGCAGGAGTGGGAACCGGAACGTTGCAAAGAGATTTGCCAGGGGAAGGAGTTGATGGTGGTAGCAACACCGCCAACAATGCGTCCATCCAATTGGGGCAACATACCCTCAGGTACGGTGGCGCCCAAAGCGCAGGCAAGAGCCGACAATAAAATCACGAACTTGAACATGTTGATGAGTGAAAATCAACTACTGAAATTTTCGCCCTCTACATGTCGTTTTTATACTAACTCCCCGGCAGATAATGGCCATAGATAATCTCTTTAATCTTTAACAATCCGCAACGGCACACTTAAGATATAGCAGGCAAATTATTTTTAGATTTTCTAGTTTTGAAAGTTCTACAAAAATAAATGCGATAAAGTCCAAAGTTTTTGGTTTACAAGACCTTCACAGCTAAGGTGCATAAGGACGAAGAGCTCAATTCTGGTTCTAGGAAATTGTGAAATGAAAAAACGGAAAAGGAAAAAAAATGTTTATTGTTGTTACGGCGTAATCTGCAGAATTTTTTCATCAAAAATGCAGAATTATTTGATCTAAATATAATCTTCTTGTAACTAATCTTAAAATATTTTCTATAAATTGGAATAGGTTTTCAGAACCTATTTCATCTTTATGCTCGACTCTGTTATTAGCTGTGAAATAATGGTCGTGTTTATACCTTAAAGTGAGAATAGATAAGAGATTTTTTTCTGACAGGTGTCTGCTGCCAATTCGCCACCTTAATTGAAGAATGAAGGCATGAATGAATATATCAGGGCAAAAAGTTATTGGATAATCTTATGACTTGCGTACCTATTTTTGTATACACTTTCAAAACTAAAAGGTCTGAAGTGTGCCGTTGCGGATTGTTAAAGATTATGGGATTATCTATGGCCATTATCTGCCGGGGAGTTAGTATAAAAACGCTATGTAGAGGGCGAACATTTCAGTAGTTGATTTTTACTCATCAACATGTTCAAGTTCGTTATTTTATTGTCGGCTCTTGCCTGCGCTTTGGGCGCCACCGTACCTGAGGGTATGTTGCCCCAATTGGATGGACGCATTGTTGGCGGTGTTGCTACCACCATCAACTCCTTCCCCTGGCAAATCTCTTTGCAACGTTCCGGTTCCCACTCCTGCGGTGGTTCCGTGTACTCTGCCAAGATCATTGTTACCGCTGCCCATTGCTTGCAATCCGTTTCTGCTTCCGTCTTGAAGGTTCGTGCTGGCTCCAGCTACTGGAACTCTGGCGGTACCTTGGTTTCCGTTGCCGCTTTCAAGAACCACGAAGGTTACAACTCCAAGACCATGGTTAACGATATCGCCGTCATCCGTTTGTCCTCCTCCTTGACCATGAGCTCCACCATCAAGGCTATTGGTTTGGCCTCCACCGCTCCTGCTAATGGTGCTTCTGCCTCCGTCTCTGGTTGGGGTACCCAAACTTCTGGCTCCTCCTCCATCCCCAGCCAATTGCGTTATGTCGATGTTAAGATTGTTGGCCGCACCCAATGTGCCTCCTCCACCTATGGTTATGGCTCTGAAATCAAGGCTAGCATGATCTGTGCCTACACTGTTGGTAAGGATGCTTGCCAAGGTGATTCCGGTGGCCCATTGGTCTCTGGTGGTGTCTTGGTTGGTGTTGTCTCCTGGGGTTATGGCTGTGCCTACACCAACTACCCTGGTGTCTATGCTGATGTTGCTGCCCTCCGCTCCTGGGTTGTTAGCGCTGCTTCCTCTGTATAAATTTAATTACGAACTTAAATAAATTTTCGATATTTCTTTACATTAATCAAAAATTTTTCGCAGTTTTTTTATTTTATGGCTGAAAATGGGGAATAGGCCTAATAAAAAATAGGTCGAAGGTAATACAAAATGGTTCAAAGATATTGTTAGGCCAGCTATAATTTCTATGATTTGAGTTTTGAATTTTGATATAGGAAAAATATTTATGCCTAATTAAAGTTAATCATATTTTGGCCCACCCTTCCACTACCATATTCCCACAAATGGTCTATTTTGCCGCCAACAAATGGATATCTCTTGAATTTCTAAATTATCATCCAATCTTGTATTCGGAGGAGTAGCTCCGTTTATAGGTCTACTGCTGTATTAACAATGACCCATTCAAAGTAGAACATAAAATTAAGTTTTAGGTCGTTTCTTTGTTTTTGGAATTTCTCATAGCTTCAACATTTAAAAATAAAATTTACGGATTGAACTGAAAATTTGGAAAAAAATGAAAGAATGTTTAGATCACTGCGTCTAGATTCTAGTTCCATGAAAATATGAAATCAAAAATCTTTTGTTTATAACACTTTTCTTTTGACATTTTTTTCTGTTTTAAAAATTGTTCTTTCAACATTTTCATAGAACAAAAGTAAAGCCCCTAGTAATTGGGTTTTTACATATTATTTTCAAAGATTTTCAAAGCATTCGGTCTGGATCATGGCCCATATAAAGTCGGACAAGAAGATTACTTTTGAGAATAAATTTGGTAGTTTTTGCATCACTGCGACTTGATTTTCTTTGAATTTCACATCAAAATTATGTTTTTGACTGCAAACTTGGTTGCCACATTGGTTTATTGGTCGACCTTCTATAGGCTTTGGGCCTGGATAACATCAGAATCATTGATTCGTTTATTATCCATAATATAAGAATTTTTTTGAGGACTTTCAATTACTTGTCGTATGATTTTAAAGAATTTATTAAATAAATTTTGTAGCAATAGCCTTAGATTTCTAAACAATTTTTTTGGAGGATAATGAAACGGTTATGAAATGTTGTTAGGCTTATTTTTTTATTACATCCAGACTATTAAACGGGGATTTCTATAGTTCTTTTGAAGAACTTCCAGCTGCTTCAATGAGGATTTTTCAGAGTACTTGCGACCAACATTCTGGTCTTTGAATGTGGATTTTAAAGAGTTTTTCAAGAACTTTTAAATGCTTGAACTTGGGTTCTTTAGAGTACTTCTGAAGAACTTTCAGAACATTGAAGGTGTATTTTTTTAAAATTATTTTTGAAGATCCTTTAACTTTAATATTTAAGTCTATTTTTTAATATTTAAACGATTCTTGAACTTGAAATTTTCAGAGAATTTTTGAAGAACTGAACCTGGAAGCTGAACTTTTAAATAGTATTTTTAGAATCTTCTCGATCTTGGATTATTAAGTGTTTGTTTGAAGATCCTTAAACTTAGTTGTTGAGGAGTATTTTTTGTAGAATTTTTAGATACCAGAATATGGTTTCTTTGGTGGTCCCTGAATGTATCCTTGAACTTATAATTTTAAGTGTATATTTGAACATCCTTGAAATTCGATTCTAAGTTAATCTTTCCATACCCTTGAACTTAGAATTCTACGTGTATTTTGGAAGATCATTCAATTAAAATTTTTAAGAGAATTTCAAAAGAACTTCCAGCTGCTTGGGCGTGAATTTTAATAAGTATTTTTAAATAACTTTTCGATACTAGAGCGTGGATTTTGAAAGCATTTCTAAAGAGTTCCTAAACCATATCATGTATTACTTGGAAAAGCTATACAATTTTCGAAACCGAAAATTTCCAAAAACGTCAAGGGCAAAAATTATTTTTATTGAAAATACATAATCAGCTTGAGGTCTTGGCATGACATTTTTGTAACACATCATAAAGGTATGCCAGAGCCGCAGTCGAACACTGCCATTGTTTTCCCTTCTAATTTGACATTAATATGCCCAGCCATATTGTCGAGCTGCAAATGTATCCACACCTTAAAGGCTTTTAGATTTGTTCACATGCATATTTGGAAATAGTTTTGAAAATCTGTTGAGACACCATCGCGAATTTTCGAAACGGACTTTTTTTTAGTAAAAGGACGTTGTCGCTCCTTAAAATCATAAATTTGTTGACCCATTTTTTTTTTTTAATCATTCTTTTCATTTGTTCGATCAATAATTTAATATCACAGGCTTCCAATAATATTTTGTAGAAAATATTGAAATTATCCAGTACTCAGACACGCCTTTTAGTTGCAGAACACTAAAAATAAAGAGAATTTTTTGTTTTTGGAAATTTCTGGGAAGATTTCATATACTAAACATCAAACTAATTGTTCTCAACTGCTTGTCATACGTTGGGCGCCATTTTGTAAATGATTTAACCAACATTTGGTATAACATTTATCAGCCCAACCATAGGCAGGGGGTAATGGCGACCGATATTTTCTATTATTCATAACTCATTGAATATTAAAATTATTATTCGCTATTGATTGACTTGTGTTGGGCGCCACTTATGATCTATGGATAAAATCATAGGCAAAGGGTGATTGCGAGCGATGCATTCCCAAGATGATGATACATACACACCTTGGCATCATGACATGGCATTTTAGCGTCAAATAAAAAGGAAAAACGACGACAAGATTCATGTGCTGCTCTGACACCCCTTTATTATAGGTCATCAAGTATGATATGCCATAATGCCAAGCTGGTTTTGTAGCATCACCTTTAACTGTTCATAGGTGCCAGTTACTCCGATTTTTATTAACTTCAACTATTTTACAAGCTTTTCCGAAAAGCCGCACATTGAAAAAAGCATTTCTGCGATCACTGCCAAAAACTTCATCCAATTTTTCTGTGTACCGGTCCTGCATTAGCTGCTTAGCGTATATGCCGATTATGCCAAACGGAATTTTAAACCGTGCACCGAATACTTGTATATACATATTTCGAATCGATGCTCTCGAATCTAATCTACACTTCAACGTCATTAGTTTTTTTTTTTTTTGCTCAATTTGTAAAAAACGATAGACATACATTTGGTTCGGCCTAATCTTCAAGTGCTAGTACTTCAATGTATGGAAGATTTCGATTATCTTCGGGCAATATCTTCAAATTATATGCTATAAAATGGACATGGTGGGTGCGAATTATTCAGTAGTTGATACTAACTCATCAACATGTTCAAGTTCGTAATTCTATTGTCTGCTGTCGCCTGCTGTATGGGAGCTGCCATCCCCGATGGTATGATGCCCCAATTGGATGGCCGCATTGTTGGCGGTGTTGCAACCACCATCAACTCCTTCCCCTGGCAAATCTCTTTGCAACGTTCCGGTTCCCACTCCTGCGGTGGTTCCGTTTACTCTGCCAAGATCATTGTTACCGCTGCCCATTGCTTGCAATCCGTTTCCGCCTCGGTGTTGAAGGTCCGTGCTGGTTCTTCCTACTGGAGCTCTGGCGGTACCTTGGTGTCCGTTGCTGCTTTCAAGAACCACGAAGGTTACAACTCCAAGACCATGGTTAACGATATTGCTGTCATCCGTTTGTCCTCCTCCTTGACCATGAGCTCCACCATCAAGGCTATTGGTTTGGCCTCCACCGCTCCCGCTAATGGTGCTTCTGCCTCCGTCTCTGGTTGGGGTACCCAAACTTCTGGCTCCTCCTCCATCCCCAGCCAATTGCGTTATGTCGATGTTAAGATTGTTGGCCGCACCCAATGTGCTTCCTCCACCTATGGTTATGGCTCTGAAATTAAGGCTAGCATGATCTGTGCCTACACTGTTGGTAAGGATGCTTGCCAAGGTGATTCCGGTGGCCCATTGGTCTCTGGTGGTGTTTTGGTTGGTGTTGTCTCCTGGGGTTATGGCTGTGCCTACACCAACTACCCTGGTGTCTATGCCGATGTTGCTGCCCTCCGCTCCTGGGTTGTTAGCGCTGCTTCCTCTGTTTAAAAATAGAATTACGAACTTTAATAAAAAAAAATTCGTTAGGTTTTTAAACTAAAATATTTGAAAGTGTTTTATTTTTTATCGTAAAGGGAAAGGGAAATATTTGTGATCCTTGTGGATCTGTTCATAAGCTATATTAAAGTCCTAAGCAAATGCTATATACTCCGAACATTTTTAAGGTATATTTTGAAATGTTTAGGTCTTTATTCAAAATCGTTCCAATTATGAAAACCTATATTCATAAAAATAATATTTCTAACCGAATGGGTTCTTAAATAAAAAAACACAAATAAATTTAGAATGACCTAATTCCATATTCGGACCGAATTTCAAATAGCCTTACCTATTCCTTTGTTCTTTTAGCAAAATAAACGGACCACTTGCTAATATCAGAAATATTATTTAAGATAAAATTTTTGGAAATTCATAATTTCAGAATGGTATTCGAAACTTGATTCACATTTCCCATATTTAAAAAAAGTATTTCTTATAAACAAGGTCTCTATAAGGTCGGCAAGGAAGACTAATTTTGACAATAAACTCAGTTGTCTCTTTGAATTTCAAATCACAATTATATATATTTTGACAACAAACATAGATGTCAGATGATCGTATTGGCCGACCTTATGTAAGTTATTTGTAAGATTCTCGATATTTTAAGGTTACCAGTTTTGGAAATATTGCTCTCAATTCATGGTCCAATTACAAAGATGATCTCATGGGAATGCCATTTTCAGTACTTGACGTCCCTTCATTGTCAAATGTATACTTTGTAGGTATACCTTAGGTATGGACGTACAACTGGCAAAAAATGAATATTATTTTTTTACCAAATATTTTGTCATCCTGGCATACTTGGCATCATGGCTTAGTGTATTAATGACAAATTAAGGTGAGAATATGTATTCTCACCTTTATTCTTTTGATTTAAGGTGTGTGCACAAAGGCAGCTTGAAGTTTTTGCGTGGGATATTCTGTCTTTGCATGGCATATTCTGTCACATATCATACAGGGATATCAGAGCCGCACTTGAATCTTGCCCTCGTTTCCCCTTATAAAGGTGAGAAAACATAAAAAGCATTTTTGAATGGCTTAATTCATCGGCTGGCTTATTCGTAAAAAAACCAAAGGAGCGTAGGGTCAAAATCGAACTAAGTCAACCTAAAACTTATTTGTTTTTTTTTTTTACGAAGAAGCCAGCCGATGACTTAAGCCTATCAAAAAAGCTTTTTATGTTCTCTCACCTTTATAAGGGGAAACGACGGCAAGATTCCCATAAAGGGATGCCAGAACTTAAATCCGAAGAATAAATCCGAAGAATATAGGTGAGAAAACACAAAACGTTTTTTAGACTGGCTTAAGTCATCGGCTGTCTTCTCCGTAAAGGAACAATGCAATTTTAGGTTGATTTAGTTCGATTTTGGCCCTACACTTCTCTCTTCTTTTCCGAAGAAGCCAGCAGAGGATTTAAGCCAGTCTAAAAAGCAGTTTATGTATTCTCACTCTAATACCCAACCCCAACTCGCTTTCATGAAATTTTCCATGCCTGACTCCAAGAAAACTCATAAAAAATTAAAACTTCAAAATATTTTTTATAAAAAAAGTTTCTAAAAATTTATTTTATTCCTAAAATTATTTATACAGATGAAGCAGCGCTAACAACCCAGGAGCGGAGGGCGGCAACATCAGCATAGACACCAGGGTAGTTGGTGTAGGCACAACCTTGACCCCAGGAAACAACACCGGCCAAGACACCACCGGAGACCAATGGGCCGCCGGAATCACCTTGGCAAGCATCCTTACCAACAGTGTAGGCGCAGATCATGCTAGCCTTGATTTCACTACCATAACCATAGGTGGAGGAGGCACATTGGGTGCGGCCAACAATCTTAACATCGACATAACGCAATTGGCTTGGGACAGAGGAAGAGCCGAAGGAGGTGGTACCCCAACCAGAGACGGAGGCAGCAGCACCATTAGCGGGAGCGGTAGAAGCCAAGGCAATAGCCTTGATGGTGGAGCTCATGGTCAAGGAGGAGGACAAACGGATGACAGCAATATCGTTAACCATGGTCTTGGAATTGTAACCTTCATGGTTCTTGAAGGCAGCAACGGACACCAAGGTACCGCCAGAGCTCCAGTAGGAAGAGCCGGCACGAACCTTCAACACCGAGGCGGAAACGGATTGCAAGCAATGGGCAGCAGTGACAATGATCTTGGCAGAGTAAACGGAACCACCGCAGGAGTGGGAACCAGAACGTTGCAACGAAATTTGCCAGGGGAAGGAGTTGATGGTGGTAGCAACACCGCCAACAATGCGGCCATCCAATTGGGGCAACATGCCATCGGGGATGGCAGCGCCCATACAGCAAGCGACAGCAGACAACAAAACTACAAACTTCAACATGTTGATGAGTTAGTACTGACCTGTTGGCGGATAAACTGTTTATTTTATAGCGAATTGTGCGTAGATAATTGCCATAGATAGCAACAAAATTTCCACACATAGAAAAAGTACTTGAAGATTACCAGACCAAAACATATCTACTTATGTTTTAAAACAGACGGGTCTTGATGTACGAAGCGTGGCCCGATATCAATGTGTCCCAAATTGTTGGTGGTAATGTCCACGCGTCTGTGTTGTGTTTATCTGAACATTGCTGAGATTGGGAATTTTCTCTCAAATCGTATGTTTTACCCACTTCAGAATGAAATAACCTGATAAAGATCTGGCAACATTTGATTGTGAACATTTACAGTGATTTTCGAAAAAGGCTTGGATTATGTAAACATTGGAACGATCGTTAATGAGAAAAATATATAGAGGCACACAGAACCTCTACATTTGACAACAATTGGACAATGAACTTAAACAGTTTTTGCACTATTGTGATTTGAGTCTCTTTGAATTTCAAATCACAATAATGTCTTTTGGCAGGAAACTTAGTTGTCAGATGGGCTTACTGGCCGACCTCATATAGCTCATGTTTCGAGCTTAAAATTTTATTCCACACATAATTCCCGTCTATTGATCGGTTGAAAAAGCATAACACACTAAGTCTGTTCTTATGATATTGTAATAACAGACATTGACCCTATAATACCTGTTCATAAATTTACGCAATTTTGCCCAACACTGTTGGTTGGGTATTTACCGGCGGCTGCATAAAATACATCAAAACGGAATGATGTAAATGATTGAAACACTTACATATACACACATACATTCATGCAGCCACCGGTAAATTCCAATGCTGAATTCCAATAAATAAGCATCGTCAACAGCCAAAACTGGTTTGATGTGACGATGCAAATTGGACAATAATTAGTTCTGATTTAATTTTCGTCGCGAAAACAAGTTTCCCCCCGTGTGACAAGTGTCAGTGCAAAATAAAATAGAGAACCAAATCTAATTACATTGATATTAACATACAACAGTGAAAATCTAACCAACAACAAGAAGTATCAACATTACAAAACGAGTTAAAATTGTTAAAATAAATTACAAAGACGTTCAACAACACACAACAAGAAGGTGAAAAACAAAATTGTATAAAAAAAAAAACACATACACCATACATATAAAACTTGTACATAAAAACTTAAAATCTAATGAATTAATACTAATTAACTAAAATTTAAAGTCTACAAAATAAAAACGCCATGAAATAAACCTAAAATAAATTATTCAAATTTTAAACCTAATTATCCTTAAATCTAAGTGCACCCCCATAAAAACACAAATAAAAACGAACCATTTGAAATAAATAAAAAAAACCATATAAATTTGTTATAATTTAGAAAGGGCAAAAAAGGTAAGCCTAAAAACATTTGGTCCTCCAGAGCCGGATCAAAAAGTGAAAGTTTTTTAAATAATTAAAAACAAAAAAGAACAATTTGTGAGTGGACGCATAAAAGAACAGTGAGAAAAAAGAACAGTGAAATAGAAAAAAATACAGTGGGGTTCAAAAATAAGTGCAAAGTTTAAAAAGAGTTGAAAAAAAAAAAATAATTAACAAAAAATAGACTTTACACAGTGCAACAAAAAGTAAAGTTACACAGTGCTACAAGAAAATAAATAAATTTTTAAAATTTTAGAAAAATTAAATTTTTTCTTCAATTTTAAAAAAGAAAAATAAAAAATTTTTTCAACAAATTAACAAGAAGAAGTTGAAGTGACATTAATTTTTTATACAAGAAGAAAAGTGACATTAATTTTTTTATACAAAAAGAAGAGTGACAAAAAAAAAAGTGACATTAAAGATTAATTTACCCAAAAAGACAATAGAAAGTGATACAAAAGAGACAATATACAGTGACACAGAGAGCAACAACAAGGAAAATTGTGGAACCAGCAGCAAGGAGAGACGGACGGACACACGCAGCACAACAACACCAACAACAACCGAGACCCAAAACCCAAAATCAAAGTGAGTACTCGTTTAAATTTCTTTTTTGACACAAAAGGGCATTTCGGGAGCAGGCAAATCTTCAATATTTGCATTGACCCGCATATTCCCATAATTTGCAATAACACTTTGACCCATATTCAAAGCTGCTAGTTGCCCACTTAGACACTGTGACGGAAAATTTCCCAATTTGGAGCCATTTTTGTGGACGGACATTTGGCTATTGACCCGAAGGAAAAAAGCGGACAGACACATATTTTTTTCAAAAATAGCGGGAATTTTCAGCCATAAATAACTATATATATACTAAAAATCTTGGAATTTTCTGAACGTGGAGTTCAGGTAAATACATAAGCGCCATATTGACACAAATACATAAGCTTTGAACTTTGGAAAATTGGCGTCACCAAACTTGGCAAATATATAAACGCCATATTGCAAAAAGTATATACAATTTTTTGGAAACAAAGCGTCACTTGCAAAATATAGTCGCCATATTTTTTGGAAATATTTGGCGCCTATCGATAACATAAAGAAGTAAATAACAACCGTTTAAAAAAAAAAAAAAATAGCGTCTGGTGGACAGACAAAAAATAACCTAAATTTTTTTTGAAAATTTTGGAAACCAAGCAAGCGTCTGGTGGACAGACACACATGTGATACAAAACCTACAAATTTTTTTTGAAATTTTTGAAAAAAAAAAAAAATTATTGGCAAAAAAGCAAGCGTCTGGTGGACAGACATACATTTGAAACTTAAACTACAAATTTTTTTGAAATTTTGGAGAACAAATTTTATATCGGAGTCTGGTGGACAGACATAAAATCGATCCCATATATTTACAATTTTTATTTTTATTCTAATTTTAACCCTTTTTCCCATTTAGCACAATATCTATTGCTCTAAGGAGCTTAAAAATTTTTCTGTGACCCAAAATTAATTTCTTGCATTTTTCGCAGAAATATTTTGCTGGTAAACTTTTTTGATTTTGTGACACATTACACGACTTTTTGGGAAAAATTTCTTCCTTGGATTTTTTTTTGCAATTTCTTGAATTTTTCTGCAATTCCTTGAAATTTATGCTGAAAATATTTGGATTTTGACCCAAATTATTTTCTTTTGAAATATTTTGCTGGGACATAAAATTTTCCGCTGAAATATCTGGACCTTGACCCAAATCAATTTTTTTGGAAATTTTTGCTCAAATTTTTGGATTTTTGACCCAAATTATTTGTTTGAAATATTTCTGCTGAAATATTTGGATTTATACATACATAATTTTCTCTAACTCTCGTTGCGAATTTTATCGAAAAATTTGGCGAATTTAGAAAATTTGTTGAATCAGACAAATTTTCACAGCAATAATCAAAGTTATTGGCTTTTATAAAATAAAATCCTCCTGTCATAGGATATTAAGCGATTTTAAGTAAAAATTTTGAAACTTTTGTTCGACAACCCAACACACATTTTTACGTCGTTGAAAATATTTTTGGATTTTCTGGAATTTTTTTTGGAATTTTCAACTTCTCTTTGATTATCAAACTAGACTCTCGTTGTTTTTTGAAAAAAAAATCGTTTATTGTAACAATACATCTCTGGTAATTTCTGTTTTTGCAATTCTTGTTTCCACAATTTTGTTACAAAAAAAAAACTTTTGGATTATTTGTCGATTTGCAAAAATAAAATCCTCCTGTAAGTGGACTTTAAGAGATTTTATTTTCTTTTTCGGCTTCTTTTGGCAAAAAATTGACCCTTTGGCAACCCAACAAACAATTTTTAATCAAATCAAACCGGCGTCAAATACAAAGAAAATTGTTGAAATTTTTCAAATATTTTGAAACTTTTGGGAAGAAAACGAAATATAATTCGAACCAAACCAATAATTGAACATAGATTTCGTTGATCAAATTGAAGAAGATAGCTTATCCTTATTTTTTAAAAATAAAAATCTGGATAAAAGTTTGAATCTTATTCCAAGTCAATCCTTTTCATTGGGTTACCTTTCATTTTTGCAACACAACAAAATTTCGGTAAAGGTTAATACTCAGGCATCAAAATGGATAAGACCCTAAGCGAAAAATTCGCAAACTGCGTCAACGATCTTCAGGATTATATTTCAATTTTTTCAATAACCAAACCGGATGACACGGTTCATACTTTGGAGACAACACGTATGGAGTTGGATTCTGCATGGGACCAGGTCAAAAGGGCATATTTAGACTGCCGTGATTATGTTCCAGAGGAAGGAGGAAAAACCATCGACAAAAATAAACTGAGGAAACATTATATGGATACCATGGGATCATATAAACAGGCGCTGAGTTCAATAAATGGACAAATTCAAAATATTTTGGATGAAAAGGCACAGGAAAAAATGAAAAGAGAGTCAGAGATATCACAACAAGGAAGGGAAGTGGATTTTACTAATGTATCGCGGCTACCTCCATGCGATACCGACACATTTAAAGGTGGTTATAGAGAATGGCCAACTTTCAGAGATCTATTTTCGGCAATTTACATAAACAATTCAAAATTAAGCAATGTCGAAAAATTATTCCATTTAACGCAGAAGACCGCAGGAGAAGCTAGAGAAATTATTTCGCATGTCCCACTAACAAATGATGGATTTACATTAGCATGGAAAAATCTCATAGATCGTTACGAGAATAAACGGATGCAAATTAATGAAGAAATCAAGACACTTTTTAATCTACCTGGAGTTTCTACAGAATCAAGTCACACAATTCAAAAACTACAACGCACGGTAAATAGCTGCATTCAGACACTGGGGATGCTTGATGTCGATGTTAAAGGATGGGATCCGATTTTAATATACATTTGTTCAACAAAATTACCTAGAGGCTTTTTAGAAGAATTCGAGAACTCATTAAGCGATTGCAAACAGATTCCAAAATGGAAACAGTTTGACGCTTTCTTAACAAACAAATTCAAAACTTTGGAATCAGTTGGAAATATAAAGCCCTCTATATCGAAATTTGCTCAACAAAAACCAACTAACAATCAAACGCCTAGATTTTTGAAAACATTTCAAACAAATGTCTCAAGAAATACAAACAATTTTGGAGGAAGACCTACTACTGTATCACAACCTCAACAAAATAAACCAAAAAATACTCAAACATGTCAAGTCTGCAAATCAAATCATTTCATTAGAGATTGCAGCGAATTTTTGAAAAAGAGTGTGAATGACAGAATTCACATCGTGAAAACATCACACATATGCTACAATTGCTTGTCATCAAATCACGGAGTAAAGGATTGCAAAAGTCGCTTTGGCTGCCGGATTTGTACTATGCGACACAATACTTTGTTACATAAGGGAACGGAAACCCAAACAACAAATACATACCTAGCTCGAGTGGAAGCACAACCTAGTACTAGTGCTGCCGCTCTTACAAATCAAATACAGTCCACTACAAACCTAGAACCAACTACTATTACTACTTTGACCCTCCAAGATAAGCAAATTTGTGAGCGACAATCTGGAGGAACACTACTTTTTACAGCAATAGTACAAATTGAAACCAAAGGACAACTTTACGATGCCCGAGCTCTAATAGACTCAGGATCACAATCCACATTTATTTCTGAAAAGATGAAAAACTTTTTGAAGTTACCTACACGGAACAACTTAGTTCATGTCACTGGCTTAAGTCAATTTGTTTCTGAGACTTCAACGAAATCTTGCTTGTTTACTATGAGATCCAAATACGACCCTAGCTTTAAACTGGAAGTCTGGGCTCCAGTTTTAAAGAACTTACCTACAAATTTGCCACCGCAAAACTTAGATGAATCACAACTTCGAGATGTAACAGCATTAGAACTGGCTGACCCGAAATTTTACGTCAGTCAACCAATCGATTTACTTATTGGAATGGACATTGGACCATTAATATTCACAATTGGAACTCCAATGAAAACATTTGGATCAATTTTAACACAAAAAACCAAATTTGGATGGATAGTTGGAGGACCCATACCAGGAAGCACCCTTCAACGAAAACAAATATCACTTCTAAATACAACTTCAATAGAAAAAGTACTTACACGTTTTTGGGAGGTGGAAGAGACCCCTAAAAAAGTTTTACGGTCAGAAGAAGACCAATTTTGCGAACAAAACTACACTGAAACAACAATACGAAACAAGGATGGAAGATATGTGGTGACTCTCCCATTCAAAAAATGCGAAGAATTGGGGAATTCCCGAAACATCGCCCTAGCTCAATTCTACAGAATGGAGAAAAAACTTATGAAAACACCTGAGATCAAAGAACAATATGATGCCTCAATTCTTGAATACTTAGAACTTGGTCATATGAGGAAAATCAATCCGAATGAAATAGATAAAATGCCAAATTATTATCTACCACATCACGCTGTGATAAAACCCGATCGACTCACGACGAAGTTAAGAGTCGTATTTAACGCTTCTTGTCCTTCATCAAACAAAACAAGTCTCAATGACCTACTATATCCTGGACCCATTCTTCAACAGGATTTGGTATTGCAAATTTTAAAATGGAGATTCTTCAAATATGCCTTCAATGCAGATATAACAAAGATGTATCGACAGATACTTTTGGATTCAAAGCAAACAAAATATCAACGAATTCTCTTTAGACAGTCTCCTGAAAACCCAGTAGAGGATTATGAGCTGCTAACAGTTACATTTGGAGTTAACTGCGCACCATATTTAGCATTGAGAACTCTTCTCAAACTAGCAGAAGATATAAAAGAATTATACCCTAGAGCCGCAAATATAATTTTGAATAATTTGTATGTTGATGATGTATTAGCTGGCGGCCACACTGAGGATGAATCAATAAAAGCTCGAAAGGAATTAACTGACGCTTTAGACTCTGCCGGTTTTACACTAATGAAATGGGCGTCAAATAATCACAAAATAATACAAGATATTCCACATGAACATTTACTACCACTCAATTGGCTAGACATTTCCGAAGATGCTTCTACTAAGACCCTTGGAATTCGATGGAATATCTCAGGCGATTATTTTTCTTTCACACCACCTTCTATGGAAAATAAAAATATATCCTCAAAAAGAGAAGTTTTATCAACGATAGCCAAATTGTTTGACCCATGTGGATGGCTGGCACCGGTGGTTGTTGTAGCTAAGCTAATAATGCAACAAATCTGGCTAGACAAAATTGACTGGGATGATCAATTAAAACCAATAACTCAAATGAACTGGAACAATTTTGTCAAAAATAGCAAAGATATTGAATATCTCAGAGTTCCTCGATGGATTCAATACACGCTAGATGGTTCTGTAGAGATTCACGGATTTTGTGACGCGTCGGAAAGCGCGTATGGAGCCACTCTATATATTAGAGTGGAAAATACTGACCATACCACACATACATTCTTACTAGCAGCAAAAACTCGTGTCGCTCCAATTAAAAAACTGTCAATACCCAGACTCGAGTTATGCGGGGCAGTATTACTCTCCAAGTTAGCAAAATCCATTGTTAATAGCCTACAAATATCAAAATATTCGACACAATTTTGGACCGATTCTACCATCGTCTTAGCATGGTTAAAAAAGCCTCCTTGTCACTGGAGCACATTTGTTGGAAATAGAGTCTCGGAAATTTCTGATAATGTTGGACAAGAAAATTGGAGACATGTCGATTCGGAAAATAATCCAGCTGATGTTGCGAGCCGTGGATGTTCACCCGCCGAGCTAAAGACCAATGAACTCTGGTGGCAGGGACCTCAATGGCTCAGAATGCCAAAAGACCGTTGGCCAACACAAGATATCCCACAAGACACAAACGCCGAAGCCAAAACGGCAAAAGTCATGACTCTTTTCGCGGAAAGAGATGACCCTTTAAAAAATTTCTCCTCTTTATCTAAAGTTTATCGATCATACGCACATGCTCTAAGACTCTGGAAAAATACTGGAGCAAATAGGCAACATCTTCGCACGTCATCACAAGACCTTACAGCAGCCGAAATCCAAGATGGAAAACGATCTTGCATAATTCGTACCCAGAAATTCGTATATGCCGAAGAATACAACTCACTTATGAAAAAGACTCAAATTTCTCCTTCAAGTCCTCTATTGACACTCAACCCGTTTCTAGACTCAAAGGGTATTATTAGAGCAAATGGCAGATTGGTACAATCGCCAGCCCTTACATATAGCGAACGTCATCCAATAATACTACCACATGGCGCAAAGCTTAGCAAATTGTTAGTCGAATTCACTCATAAGATCACCTTGCACGGTGGTAATCAATTAATGACCCGAGTATTAAGGTCCGAATTCTGGATATTTGGACTCAAATCGCTAATCAAACAAACCATACGAAAATGTCGAATCTGCTTAATTCACAAAAAACAAACCCAAACTCAAATAATGGCTTCGCTACCACCCGAACGTACTTTTCTCTCTCGACCCTTTACAAACACAGGGGTAGATTTCGCAGGACCCTTTAACATTAAAAGTTATTCAGGAAGAGCCTGCTTTATTACAAAAGGCTATGTGTGCCTGTTTGTTTGTTTCGCCACGAAGGCTATACATTTAGAACCCACAAGCGATTTGTCGACATATGCCTTTCTTGCAGCTTTTTCTAGGTTCATAAGTCGGCGAGGTTGTCCATCTTGTATATTTTCTGACAACGGAACTAACTTTGTAGGAGCGGTTGATCTATTAAAGCGAGATCGATTAGCTTTCATGAAGAATATTCAAAATAGCACTATTCAAAACAACTTCACTCAAAATCTTACTTGGAAATTTATTCCTCCTGGTGCTCCGCACATGGGCGGCTTGTGGGAAGCTGGTGTTAAATCATTTAAAATTCATTTACGAAAAAGCATCCCAAAAATGAATTTCACTTTTGAAGAATTTACAACTATTTTAGCAAGAATTGAAGGCTGTCTTAATTCGCGACCCTTAAGTCCTGCTAGCGATGACCCAAATGACCTTTCCCCTTTGACTCCTGGCCATTTCTTAATAGGAACATCTATCCTTACCCCAGCTGAACCAGACATTTCAGATACAGATCTAAGCTTAGTCAATCGTTGGAAAAGACTCAAAGTTATTTCTCAATATTTTTGCAACAGGTGGAAATTAGAATATCTTCACGAACTTCACAGAAGAACTAAGTGGAAATATGAAAAAGAGAATATCAAAGAGGGAGATTTAGTTGTCGTAAAAGATGATAGATTGGCTCCGCATGAATGGAAGTTAGGTCGTATCGAAAAAAACGTATCCAGGCAGTGATCAAAATACCAGGGTTGTAGACATACGGACGGCAAGTGGCAACATTAGCAGACCCATAACAAAAATTGTCAAATTGTTTTCCGACTGACTAGTCGGATTCACACCCAAAAAAGAATTTAGTACTCGCCTTCATTTTCTTTCAGATATGGCCGCTTACTTGCCCAACCAGGACTACCGTCTGGACGATCGCAGCCGTAGCCCAGCCTCATCTGCCCGTCCTACAGCAAGAAGCGCCAACAGACCCTTACGGCCAATCCAACGTCCCAGTTCCACATCCCCTGAAAGACGTCAACGAAGTCGATCCGATGCAAGACCCCGCCAACGCCAAGAAAGACCAAGCTACTGGCAATATTCATGTGGACTATGCCAAGAAGACCATGCCCTCAGTGCCTGTGAGAGGTTCCGCCGGCAGACGCCCTTTCAGCGGTATGAGACCGTGGAGCGTCGGGGGTATTGCCGAAATTGCCTGGCGAGAAGTCATTTGGCCCCCGACTGCCCGTCTTTAACTGGTTGCCGGAGATGCAACTACCGGCACCATACCCTATTGCACGGGGCGTCTCAATTGGAAGAGGTATCCCTAAATATAGAAGCCGTCACCACCCCAGCTTTCGCATGGGACTTAGTATTTGTACCGACGGCTATGGTGCGCATAACGGCCGAGGGCATGGAGGGGTTCAGCATGTTGCGAGCCATAGTTAGCCAATCGGCGACGATGTCCAAGATCTCGTATGCAGCTTTCCGTCGCCTGGGTCTGCAGTCGCGGAGCTACAAAGGGGAGCGATTCACCACCTTCACCGTTTCGCCCCGCCGCACAAACTCTGATTGGAGTCTGAAGGTAAATGCTTTAATAATTGAAGACCTCCCCAGACGCATTTACTCAGACCCGATATTAGAAGACCCCACGAGATGTTTTACGAACTATGCGCTTGCTGACCCTGATCCCAGAGGAAATAGTCCGATCGATGTGGAACTGGGAGCGGACACGTACTCCGCCATACGAAAAGAAGGGTGTACAGCAGCTGGAATTGGAGATGTCCTGGCCTACAACACACAACTGGGCTACGTGTTTGCCGGACCCATCAAGAATATGCCGAGGAACGGATGAACGAGAATTCTTATGGTATACTACAAATGAATACTTACACTTGTCATTCGGGGCCCAGAAAATGTTCATAAATTTACGCAATTTTGCCCAACACTGTTGGTTGGGTATTTACCGGCGGCTGCATAAAATACATCAAAACGGAATGATGTAAATGATTGAAACACTTACATATACACACATACATTCATGCAGCCACCGGTAAATTCCAATGCTGAATTCCAATAAATAAGCATCGTCAACAGCCAAAACTGGTTTGATGTGACGATGCAAATTGGACAATAATTAGTTCTGATTTAATTTTCGTCGCGAAAACAAGTTTCCCCCCGTGTGACAAGTGTCAGTGCAAAATAAAATAGAGAACCAAATCTAATTACATTGATATTAACATACAACAGTGAAAATCTAACCAACAACAAGAAGTATCAACATTACAAAACGAGTTAAAATTGTTAAAATAAATTACAAAGACGTTCAACAACACACAACAAGAAGGTGAAAAACAAAATTGTATAAAAAAAAAAACACATACACCATACATATAAAACTTGTACATAAAAACTTAAAATCTAATGAATTAATACTAATTAACTAAAATTTAAAGTCTACAAAATAAAAACGCCATGAAATAAACCTAAAATAAATTATTCAAATTTTAAACCTAATTATCCTTAAATCTAAGTGCACCCCCATAAAAACACAAATAAAAACGAACCATTTGAAATAAATAAAAAAAACCATATAAATTTGTTATAATTTAGAAAGGGCAAAAAAGGTAAGCCTAAAAACAATACCTATCTTTAAACTTTTATGCCTTTGAACTATGCCAAAATAGGTTTATGAAAATAAAATAAAAAAATCCATGCTAGTCTTTGTTTAACTGTTCGCCAACACGACATTTACAATCATATGACACTCACGTCAAAGATACGGAACAAAGGGAGTCCCATTTTGCCATGAACTGTCACTCAAGTTGATTCTATAAAGATCATTAGGTTTTCTGCCCAAATAAGCTATTGTGATTGGAAATTCAAGGAAGTAGAAATCACAATAGTACATCCCTACATGAAAAATTAATAAATCTTTTCTTAAATTCCGTTTTCTTTATCATATTTGACAATAAACCCAATATTTTGAAAACTATTGTGAATGGAATTGAAACTTTATTTAACAATGAAATTATGAAAAACCAGTAAAAAAGTCCTATAGTCGGGCGGGGCCGATTTTATGATACCCTACACCACTTTGCTAATTTAGTTGAACTCCGCATAACAATTAAAAGTTTTTATGGGAGAATTCAATCATACACCCTATGATTATAATTATAATTTAAAATTTAAAGGACTAAACACCCCGAAGCATTTGTATCTTTTAAATTCGGGTGGGTAACAAATACAATAAATAGGATGAACAATATATATGGGAGCTATAGCTGTATCTCAACCGATCTTCACAAAATTTGACATACTAGATTCTAGACTCAATTCGGTCGTAAGTGCCAAATTTCATCCAATTTGGGCAAATATTAAACGTTTGGTGCACAATCAAAGGTAAATCGGACGAAGTTATATATGGGAGCTATATCCAAATCTGAACCGATCTCGATAAAATTTAGCAAATGTATTTCTGTGCTGTATTTGATATATTTCCCCAAATATTGTTGTTGCATAGTGCATATTACGGCTGCGGTGGACAAAAATAACAAATCGGACGAAGAATATATATGGGAGCTATAGCTATATCTGAACCGATTTCGATCAAATTTGGCATACATATTTTCAGGCCTAATTTATGTGTATATGCAAAATTCCATACAATTCGGGCTGATATTACACGTTTGGTGCACAATAAAAGGCAAATCGGACGAAGATATATATGGGAGCTATATCTAAATTTTGACCGATTATCTCCAATTTCAATAGGGTTCGTCCTTGGGCCAAACAAAAGATCTTTGCAAAATTTCATCTGGATCGGGCAATAAATGCGACCTGTACTTTGTTTACAAAAAAAACATGGACAGACGGACGGACGGACATGCATAAATCGACTCAGAATGTGATTCTATGCAGATCATCAAAAGGAACTATGGGTCTATCTCGTTTCCTTCTGCCTGTTACAAACAAATGCACAAAGACATAATACCCTGACCACCTTGTGGTGTAGGGTATAATTAATTAAAAAGTACCGTAAAGAACTAAATACATGGCGCCCAACGTAAGACCTAGAGTTAAAGAACTAAATTAATGCTCAATGAAAACAAATGAAAAAGCAGTAAGTTCGGCGGAGCTGAACTTTTAATATCCTCCAACATTTTGAAGCTATTTGTAAATTTTCAAAAACAAAGTCCGTTGAAAATTTCTGCTAAAACACACAAAAATTCCGAATAAAGGGAGTTACCGTTATATTGGGGCTTTTACTGTCATTGGCTGCAGTATCCGTTACGAACTTCAAACCCCAAATTTGAAACAATTCCGGTGAATAATGTCGCTTAAATCACCAAAATACCAAATATCGGAAGGTATCTTTATATGGGGGATATACGAAGATGTGGACTCGCACGGTCAATTTTCTGTCATAGCCTATAGTATTCATTACGAACTTCAAATACGAAATTTGAAATGATTCCGGCAAATAATGTCGCTTAAATCACTAAAATACCGAATATCGGGAGGTACCGTTATATGGGGGCTATACGAAAATGTGGACCTGCACAGCAATTTTCTGTCATAGGATGTACTATCCATTACGAACTTCAAATACCAAATTTGAAATGATTCCGGCAAATAATGTCGCTTGAATCACCAAAATACCGAATATCGGGAGGTACCGTTAAATGGGGGATATACGAAGACGTGGACCTGCACAGACAATTTTCTGTCATAGGTGTAGTTTTCATTACGAACTTCATGTACCAAAATTGGAAACAATTCCGTTGAATAATGTCGCTAAAATCATTAAAATACGGAATTCAGGGAGGTATCGTTATATGGGGGCTATACCAAAACTTAGAACTATATTGACAGTTCTATGCAAGTATATTTCTGGGAACATATGCTGCCTATTCGGATTAAAAATGTAAATAAAACTCGAAAAAAATCTTAAATCGCACATCGCTAAATTGACATAGACAACATCCTAAAACTCATTTACGAAAAAGCCAGCCGATGAATTAAGAGAGTCAAAAAAGAACTTAAGGTGAGAGTACAGAGAGAATTTTTTTGACTGGCTTAAGTCATCGCCTGGCTTCTTTGTGGAGAAATAAGGGAGTTTTAGGTTGACTTAGTTCGATTTTGGTACTACGCTCCTTTGTTATTTTCCGAAGAAGCCAGTCGATTACTTAAGCCAGTCAAAAAAAAGTGTTTTATGTATCCTCACCTTTAATATATTCTCACCTTATACCCCCTGTCTAAGGCCTATAAATGTTCGGATAAGAAGACTACTTATGTCAACAATTTGATAATGAACCTAGTAGTTTTTAAACCATTGTGATTTGACTCTCTTTGAATTTCAAATCTCAATTTTAGCAATAAATTTACTAGTCAGATAGGTATACTGGCTGGCCTTATGAAAAATATTTTTATGTTTGTTCGGAATATCTAGACTTTCTTTAAGATCCTAATGCTCTGATTTAAAATCTGCAAAAATGTAATAGTTTTACAATTTATTTCGGATATCATAAAGGGAAAATTGGTTATCGTGGTAAAAAATTGTACATTCTTGCAGTTCAGGAAAAGACCAATAGTTATATCCCTCAGAATCGGGAATATTTCCCCTTATGATCCAGAAGTAATAAAACAATTTCAAATATTTTAGTTAAAAGACATAACGAATTTTTTTATTAAAGTTCGTAATTCTATTTTTAAACAGATGAAGCAGCGCTAACAACCCAGGAGCGGAGGGCAGCAACATCAGCATAGACACCAGGGTAGTTGGTGTAGGCACAGCCATAACCCCAGGAGACAACACCAACCAAGACACCACCAGAGACCAATGGGCCGCCGGAATCACCTTGGCAAGCATCCTTACCAACAGTGTAGGCACAGATCATGCTAGCCTTGATTTCAGAGCCATAACCATAGGTGGAGGAAGCACATTGGGTGCGGCCAACAATCTTAACATCGACATAACGCAATTGGCTGGGGATGGAGGAGGAGCCAGAAGTTTGGGTACCCCAACCAGAGACGGAGGCAGAAGCACCATTAGCAGGAGCGGTGGAGGCCAAACCAATAGCCTTGATGGTGGAGCTCATGGTCAAGGAGGAGGACAAACGGATGACAGCAATATCGTTAACCATGGTCTTGGAGTTGTAACCTTCGTGGTTCTTGAAAGCGGCAACGGAAACCAAGGTACCGCCAGAGTTCCAGTAGGAAGAACCGGCACGAACCTTCAAGACGGAAGCAGAAACGGATTGCAAGCAATGGGCAGCGGTGACAATGATCTTGCTAGAGTAGACGGAACCACCGCAGGAGTGGGAGCCGGAACGTTGCAAAGAGATTTGCCAGGGGAAGGAGCTGATGGTGGTAGCAGCACCGCCAACAATGCGTCCATCCAATTGGGGCAACATACCCTCAGGTACGGTGGCGCCCAAAGCGCAGGCAAGAGCCGACAATAAAATTACGAACTTGAACATGTTGATGAGTAAAAATCAACTACTGAAGTTCTCAGCGCAAAGCCAGGGCTTTTATAGCAAATAATTCTAAGAGATTGCAATCATTTCTATTTCCTTTGTCCGTTACCTGCCTCCATATTATCTGTTGGGTACTTCAGTTGGTGCGTGGTGCCATGTTTAGTATTTCGCCAAAGGCATATTCTGATTTGCCTGATATAACATAACTACAACGTATACTCAGATTAGATATGTCCAGCCAAAAGATGATTGGTGGAAAAGTTTGTTTTTTTTTTCGGCAATGCCGGTTTTATTTTGCAAACAGTTAAAATGTAGTCAAAATCAAATGGGGGGGCCTTTGGGTAGCACTTTTAAATTAGAAAACGTTTACAAAAAGGCAAAATATTTGAGTATTTAAAAATATTGCTACGATAATGGCTACTAATATACTCACGATGTTAGAGTCATAAGTAAAGCGTCTTTCCTACATTTGTGTTAAAAAATACAACATACTTTAAGGCGTCAAGTCAAAATACATTATTGTGATTGAAATCACAGAGAAAAGATAAACAAGACCTCGAATTGAATGTCATCAACATATTCCATTTGAATTCCTTCAACCCTACAGGAAGGAATCTACAGGAAGACTATTCTATTTCATAGCCCTTTAGTCTTCAATAATAAAAATGCTTCCATCAGAAGACTTGGTGAAACATTTCTTCTTCAATCTACTGAAAGGAATTCTAGCCCCAATTCTACATCTGGCTCTCTTTCCGGCATTCCCTTGAAGAATATCCTCAAAATGTGTTTAATTTATATTCGGTTACCATGGAAACTCTTTGAATATTTTGTTGACTTTCCAAATCAAGACATCCCTGTGTTTGTTATTATTTTTTTATTAATTTTCCAATCGATCAGTACAAAATGTTTTCCACAAACATTAATGAAGAAATAACAGCCGAGGAGTTACAACATCTATCCAAGCTTTGTCTGGAACGCATACGAGTGGGTGAATTACATTGTCTGAGAAATGATGCCAAGCTGAGGGCCGTGAATAATACCAAAACTTATGATGAATTCAAGTAAGTACTCAGGGATTGTTAGACTAGTTCTAATTTCAAATACAATTCTTTTACAGGGACATTGTGGATGCTGCCCATTTGAAGCCGATTACCAAACAGGATAAAATGAATGCTAAGACCAGAAATCGTTTATGGAATAAAGCAGCAGCGGAAGTGGATGATTAAAAAAAACATACATTTTACTTATTTTTACAAGTGGAACTTGTTTCTCGAGGAAGAAAATTATGGAAGTCCTAAATATACAGTATACAAGGAAAAATGTCATAGAAAGGAGAACTAGAGCACATTACCACATTTGATATAGAAAAATATGTGCATTACTTTATTTAAAAATGAAAATTTCGAAGCAACTCGATATTGAATGCGATAATTTAAAGCCTGCATATTGAATCTATATTCTTATTATTCGGAAAGTTTAATAAAACTTCTAGTCTAATTCTAAGAACTCATTCCTTGCTCATGTAAAAGTGTGGCTTTTAAGTTAAATTTATTGCTTTTTTATATTCATACTTAAAAAGTTCCATATAATCTTTACTTATTTTAAGGAAGAAAAGCAAGACGGTATTGAATTTTTTCTCATTTGAATCCTTTACCAATCCAAACTCAATTTTCCATTCACCAAGTATACGCCTCTTACAGTTTTTCTCTTTAATTTATGGAGTATCAAACTCCTATAAGGCATAAATCTATTAATACCCCAAATGCCATTCGAACCATGTTCACCTGTACAAGGAAATACATTTGTCAATTGATAAAGCTGTTTAATTTAAACCAAACAAAACGCTGCTACTAATCTTATCACTCGAATCTTAAATTATTAATGTTTCAAATGGTGGTCGCGGTGGCGGTGGCGGTGGACACTCTCGCTGATTTCCCCCCAAAATTCTACGTAATTGTACGTAAAAACCATTGCCGCTGAAGAGTGGTGAAATACAACTCAATTTGCTGTTCTAATAATAATGAATACAAAAACCAACGATCGTCTGCTGAAGACTTCAGTTGTTCAACAAGCTTCCACGGCCCCAGCATGTTAAAATACCTAATAATACTGTCATTGGCTTGTGCCTGTGCTTTCGGTGCAGCCGTGCCTCAGGGCATGCTGCCACAATTGGATGGACGCATTGTGGGCGGTAGCTTTACCACAATTAGCTCCTTCCCCTGGCAAATCTCATTGCAACGCAGTGGCTCACACTCCTGTGGTGGTTCTATTTATTCGGCCAATGTCATTGTAACCGCTGCCCATTGTTTGCAAAACGTTGCATCGATATCTGTGCTCAAGGTACGTGCTGGTTCTTCGTATTGGACCTCTGGTGGTGTTCTGTTGTCCGTTGCTGCATTTAAAAATCATGAAGGCTATAACCCCTCAACCATGGTTAATGATATTGCTGTTATACGTCTATCCTCCTCGCTGACCATGAGCTCTACGATTCGCCCAATTGCATTGGCCACAACTGCCCCGGTCAATGGAGCTGAGGCCACAGTTTCTGGTTGGGGTACCGTAGAATCCGGTTCCAATTCTTTGCCCACCCAGTTGAAATATATTGATTTGAAAATTGTTGGCCGTACTCAGTGCTCTTCAGCAACTTATGGTTATGGCGCCGAAATCAAAGCTACCATGATCTGTGCAGCTGCTGCGGGTAAAGATTCATGTCAGGGCGATTCTGGTGGTCCATTGGTGTCTGGTGGTCTTTTGGTTGGTGTTGTGTCCTGGGGTTATGGCTGTGCCTATGCCAACTATCCTGGCGTCTATGCTGATGTTGCTGCCCTACGTAGCTGGGTTGTTGAAGCTGCTGAAAGTGTATAATGATTTTTGGAAATACGATAAGGAATATAGAAGATATTTAGAAATGTACATACAATATACATACCTACATACATCAGTGCTGTTTTTAATTAATAAATTTAACTGATTCTGCCTTTCACAGTTGAATATATATAAAAGTCTTGAAGGTCTTCCAAATAAACGCCATTAAAGGGGACCAGGGATATCTTATAAGAAATTCAATTTTTCAAAATGTTCTCGTGTTATACTCGAAAAATAGTCTATATCTTCTATAACAAAACTTAATGTTCTCCAGAAAATACGTTTTTCCTTTCGTGAGAAGACAAAGTGACATTCTAAAAAATGTCTTATAGTCATAAAATATATAATAAAAATGTCTTATAGTGTTATATAGAATCTAATAAGACGATCTTGTAGTTTTCAATAATTGTAGTCTTCAATACGAAACCCAATGTTCTTCTGAAAGAGTATCCTATGCTCTTCTCGTCTCCCATAAGAAGGCCCACCAGCCTTTTCTTAAAAATACCTATTGATTTTTCATACGATGACGTATTGCTCTGTATTTAGAAAAAATATCAGTCTTCGGCTAGATAACCTATTGACCTTCTTTTAAAAAGACAAAGGTATCTCCTTTATTTCCTATTAGAATATCTATTCGTGTTTTTTAATAAAAAGTATGACCTTCATTTAAACAATACCTGGAACTATTTGTCTCCATTTGGAATTCCTCCGTGTCTTCTATCAAAGGAATCATTTTATGTTCCAAAAATGGCTCTTATTGATCAGAATTCTTTTTTCTCGATCGTCCCAACGCCTCACTTTCCCACCTCCCCATAACGTACCCCATATTCCGGATTATAGGGGGTTAGTAGACTAGGGAAGCCGGCTACATTAGAACATCAGCCGGTTAACAATTAAAGGTTAAATTATCTGTGCTAAACTGCAGTAAAACTAAACTTCACAAAAACTAAGTCTAGCAACATTTACTGATTCTCCATTAAAAGAAATACTACTTCTATAATAAAATTTCATGTTCCTAGTAGAAGACATTTTCCCGATGAACAATCAGGCTATTTGATGATATAAAATGTCATAAAAACAAGAGAATCTATATGAAAGACCTACTGATATACTTAAAAACTATCTTTGCTTTTTATATGGTCTTTTCCTATAAAAAGCTTCTGTGGACATTTTTTAAAACGTTTTGGTCTATCAGAAGACTCATCTGGTCCTCTAAGAGCCCATTTTATATTTAGGTACCTCTCAGTCTTTTATTTGAAGAAAATTTGATTTTACATTTGCAAACTCTTGGTCTTCTATATGGAAGTCTGAAAGTCTCCCATTGAAGCTGTTCTAAATCTTCTATAGAAATTGTGAAACGCCTCCTAGGTTCCTTTAACAAAACTAAAAAACAAACCCTTTTTTTATTTTACTTACAAAATTTATTGTTTTGTTTTTTTTTTATTACAAACATTAAGAAAAAAAATATTTGTGTATTTTTGTGAGGATTCTATCCTAGCAGAACTTAAGTTTTCTCTTCATTAAATTGCCAAAAAAATAGATATATTAAGATAAATACAAGAAAAAACTCGAACGAACATTTAGGCGGTATACAAAAAAAGAAAAAAATATGAATGAAAGGAATGTATTTTTCAAAAAAAGCTTTTGTCTAAAAATAAATGTTCCATTTAGGTGTAGGCCATCTTCTTGTTCTGTATGTGTTTCTCGGAAACGAACAAACCCACCAATGGACTTCAAATTCACTTGCGAGGCTGTTGAATGTTTATGGGATGTTTGACCGAAACATGATTTGGTGGTTTTGGGGTATGGGCCACCTGAACGGCCTCGGTCGTGTAATCCACATTGCCTTTTACCGGAGCACCACTAACCGACATGGTATTGACACTAACGGGTTGCTGCAAAAACAATAATATTTTATTGAATGTTTTTATGAATATTTTAATATTTACCGTCAAACCGGTACAATCTTCGGCATCTTTGGCTGGACGTTCCGAGTTGTGGGTTTTGTGTTGGACAATACGCATGCCACCAGCTTTAACTGTAATTAGCGAAAAAAAGAAAAACTATGATTAACATCATACTACTAACTTGAAATGGAAAACAGCCTTCTCACTGCCCTCCTAACAAATTCCTCAAGGTCAACACTGTTGTGAAGTCATTCCAAAATCCGTTTCTCAATTACTTGAAACATTCGCGCGCACACACACACAAACAAATACACATAATCTACTATGCTATTGCATTTGTAGGTGCCGATGATGTTCTAATGCGCATTAAAAATATCCAAAAAATCAACGTTGACTTACCTGCCGGTGGATGACCAGCCAAAAGTTGAGGTTGCTCTTCATCAGCCATGATTTTTATTATTTAGAAATGTTCTCGTTTTATATTAACTTTTGCGTCTAAATTAATTAAAAAACAAAAAACAAAAAGTTCGTTATTCGAATTTCATTATTTTTGTTAACAAATCTCTTACCTTTGTGACGAAATTGATTTGTGGAGTACTCGACTCTGATAAGCTCACAACTTTAATGTATTTTTGACACGACTGCAATTTACTTGCGTTCTGCTGATAGGATGGATTTTTTCCTTTTATTCCTCTAATTATTCGTTCTCTCTTTTGTTGTTGTCTTTTATGTTTATTAGGGACGGATAGATCGACTTTTGACTTATCAATCAAAATAACCAACTTGGGAATGATTTGGTTGGGGCTTATGGCGCAGTACAATTAGGAGGTAAAAAGCTATCCAAAAACTATTAAAATGCATACAAGAGTATAGTAATAAGTAAACGCTACGATAATGTCGATGCCCAAAAACCATTGCACACATTAAATGCACAATTTCATTGTGTATACGTAAACGCATGGTAAAAGCAAAACTACAAAAGTATATAATAGCATGGCTCAATAAGAAAGGTTGATTAAACTAGAAAAAAATGCAACTCTGTGCTGGAGTCTTATAGTGTCAAATAGATTTTTAAATATGCAACAGTTGGCTTTGTTTGAAGAAGAAAATTGGTAGTTTTTCTGGCGAATACATCAGAATAATATAGCGGATAATTTTTGTAACGTTTTGAACATTTTCTTTCTTGGCTCCGTTCTGAAAAATTGTTATTTCAGCATATATTGTTCGGACACAGCTGACACAACAACTCAAGCTAGTATATATCTCGCCTCAAACAAATCGTCATAAAAGTTATTTCAACAATTGGCTAAAAATATAAAAATGTTATAACAACGGTAAAAAGCTTTTGAATATTCCCTGTTTAACACCAGTGTGAACCGGCCTATAGTTACCAATAATTTTGTGTCACATAGTGTAAGTGACCCTCTTCCATTAATCAGCTGTTCTGCTTTGGCTCATCACTATTGTGATTTATTCACATTATAAACATTGTGCACGACTTCAATTTGATAAAAACAAGAAAAAGCACGATACATGCACAAGTACATAATTAAAGCTAGAGTAAAAACTGTTAATTCATGCAGCAGAAGCATAAATTATAAACAAAATATCGAATAAAAATCCACATATAAAGGAACACCGAAAAAACATGAAGGATTCAAAGGTAAAAGAGAAAAGAAAATAGGTGATAATCATAGAAAATGTCAAATTACATCACATGTAAAATGGGCGAATTAAGCGTCTAATTAAAAATAATGAGATCGGAATTGAATAAAATTATCCTATTTGTTAACCTATTTAATTTTTTGTTGCTTTGCACGGCAATTGAACAGAATTTCCCAGCATTGAAAAATGACAACGTATTGAAGGCAGCACGAGGAGAACCCGTTGACCGGGTTCCAGTTTGGGTAATGAGACAAGCCGGCCGCTATTTGCCAGAATTTCAAGAAGTACGAAAAGAACATGATTTTTTCACCGTATGTCGAACACCCGAGTTGGCATGCGAGGTTACCATGCAACCACTGAGACGTTTTGATTTGGATGCATCGATTATATTTTCCGATATATTGGTAATACCCCAGGCATTTGGCATGACCGTGGAAATGCATCCTGGTGTGGTGAGTATTTTTTATGTTTATATTTGAAATATGCAAAATGTGATAATTTAAAAATTCTTAGGGTCCAGTATTTCCTGAACCTTTGCAAACCCCTGCTGATTTAGCAAAACTTAAGCCCGAAGGTGCCGTGGAACGTTTGTCCTATGTGGGTGATGCCATTACCATGATGCGCCACATGTTAGATGGTAAAGTGCCTTTATTGGGTTTTACTGGAGCTCCCGTAAGTATTCAATTTTTCATTGATAATTTGAGGAATAATTATGATACCCTAAACTTCCAGTGGACATTAATGGGTTATATGATTGAAGGAGGCGGCAGCAAAACAATGTCCAAAGCCAAGGCCTGGCTAAAAGATTACACAGACGACTCCAAAAAGTTGCTGGATATGCTAGCATCCTCTATCGTTGATTATTTGGAGATGCAAGTTAAGGCCGGAGCACAAATGGTACAGGTTTTCGAATCATCTGCCGAACATTTGTCTAAGGAGGAATTTTTGACTTGGTGCGCACCATATCTTAAGGACATTGCCAGCAAATTAAAACAGCGTTTATCCGAACAAAATATACCATTGGTTCCCATGGTATGTATTTCAATGTTCCTATGTACAATTCTGTAATTTAATTGTATGTCTTTCCTTACAGACAATTTTTGCCAAAGGTGCTGGCCACTCTCTGGCCGAACAGGCAACTTTTGGTTACGATGTCATTAGCTTGGATTGGACCGTTGATCCTGAGGAGGCACGCAAACAAGTTGGTCCCAATATAACACTGCAGGGCAATTTAGATCCTCAAGATTTGTATAAGACACCTGAAGAAATTCGTGAACTGGCCACAACTATGGTGCGTAAATTTGGCAAGACACGTTACATTGCCAATCTCGGTCATGGCATAACACCACAAACACCAATTGTAAGCATGGAAGTTTTTGTAGATGCTGTACACAAAGCCTTATAGATTAAGAATGCATTTTTTATATATATTATTTTTTCTTATGAAGACATCAATAAAATCCAAGGGAATTTTTGGTTAGCTCTGTAAAACTGGATTTACATGTTTTAAATAAATGAACATCATTCGATCTCTTTGTAATGTTCATCTCTTGAAAACCTAGCAATTCATTCTAGGTTTAAATTTTCATGACATTTTACTCGAAAATGTTTTTTTTTTTTATCATTGGACCTCCCATTTTATTTGAAATCTCAAGTTATTGCCCAATTAATTTTTTATCCATTGTTTCCATAAATTATTACTGATGAGTTGATTTACCTTTTCCGATCTTCTAACCAATTAGGATTTTTCGGTGTATATTTGGTAAGGTTTTATTGAATTAGATTTGAAACTTCCCGATTAGGGAGTGTCAACCACAGTCTGTTCTCTCAATGCTTGATCATACAACATAATGGATGAACCCATGCACACCAAAAGTGTTCCAACTATAACATCTGCAAAATAAAGGAAATTATTTAAAACGAAATCATAGGCCTTTCCCCCAAGAACTCACTTCTTCCAGGTATCTTTTCACCCAGCAAATAGCCCGTTATGGCAGTAAAAGCAAATGTCAATGAATTGGCCACAGGAACTGCAATAATTATCTCACAAAACTGCAAAGTCCAAACATAAACGACACTACCCAATTGATTTAGACCAAAAGGTATCCAATATTTTAGACGTAATGCAATAGTTTTCAATTCTAGCCAAAGATTTTTGGAAGATGACCCTGTATTTATTTGCTCGATGCCTTCACTTCCACGGCGAATGAATGGATTCGTACAACCCCAAAGTATTCCAACACAAATTAAACAAACTAAAAAAATGGGGAAATGTTAATGAATCTGTATTTTATAATATCAAACAAATATACTTACGAATGTTGAACATTGTAGAAACGTCCACTTTTCCAACTTCAAATTACTGTCTTGAACTGGGAATTCTAATGTTTCTTGGCCGTTATTGTGAATTGTTTGGCTTTGAATTTATGTGATGGAGCATTAAGAGGCACTGGAAACTTGTTTAGGCAGGAAACTTAATATTTTAAATAATGGAAAATTGTATAAATCTCCATTTGTACTCACAAGACGCTTGAAGAAATAGATCATTTTTCTAATTCCTATGAATTGTTTACCTTCTTATCTTCGTTGTAGAAGTCATTGTGAATTCATTGAGGGCTTCTTCAATTGCAGCGTATGTCGACATTTCTATAGATATACTTTTTAAATATATATCCTAAATAACAAGATCTTCAAAAGTTAAATCACGATAAAAGGATTTATACAATATACCGATCTTATGCAGTGTTAATTTAATCTTGATATTATATATTTGTTCATGTTATTGTGAATTGACCAATTTCCTCTTGCAATGCACTATAAAATGATAGCACCATTACACAGAGTGGCAAAAGGGAAAATCAATCCATAATTAGACTAGACGAGTTTATTTGTAGTAATTTTTATTGTTTTCTTTTCAATGCATGCATACAAGGCAATTTGTTTTCAGCAATATTCTTTTTCATTATTGTCTGTTTATTTATTATTAATATTTATGATTAAAGAACACAAAAAGATTTGTCGATACGCGTAGTTTTTCCCATTTCTTTACCTCCTCTTACCTCCCTTTTGCGACTTGGCACAGATAAACTTTCCTAATACAAATTCGGATAGTTTTATAAATAAAATTAAAAAAAATATTTATATGACCCTTCGCCATTATAACAAAACAAATCCAATCCCAAACATCAGTTATGTTTTTTTTTTTTTAATTTATTTTATTTGTAATATTTTAAAAATTGTAATTAAATCTTAACTTAGCATTGATACATAAAATTGATTATAAAACATTTATAGATAGATTTTTGGGTGATTTTGTTATGATAGACAAAAAAGAGGCATATAAACTGAAAATAAAAAAATGCTAAAACAAAACAATGTTTGCAAATTAAAAAAAAAATATAACGCTGCTAACAACGTTAATTACAAAAAAATATTGAAAAATAAGTGTATTAGTTGCGTTGCTTGAAATTTAGGCAACAATAAAGAAGCAAAACACAAAATCAAGAAATTTTGATAGACAACACAGTTAAACAACAATTATGTGGGGAGTTTCGGGAAAGAAAAACAATTTGGCGATTTTTGTTTAACTGTGTCTTCTTTCCAAATTCCAGGTTAGATCAATTTTTGGTTGTATTGTGTTGCAATATGTTGTTGCATAATCCTCATTAATTAAAAGATGGCAGTTGTTAATAGTATGTAAATTATAAATAAAACAATACATATGTAGTACCAAGTGAGAGTAGTTTTTTTAAGGGGCGAAAGTAGGTACTTTGTTTATGGATAATAAATATAGTTTTGTATACTAAATTCCTTACTGAGGGCATTTGTAATTTGTATATATCTTTGCTTTTAGAAGAAACCGGCTTTATCTGCCATATTTACTATCTTATCGATATTAGCATGTAGGGTTTTAAGTTGTTGTAACGTTTCCGGATCCATTGCCTTAATGATGTCTGGAGTTAAATCATCAATCTTTTTGGGTCTCATGGAGATGACGCCATTACGCAATGGTATATTAAGATGGGCAAATGTACCGGGTACACTAAAAAAAAGGAAAGATGAATTAAAACGAAATTTCAATTATGTATAATGAACAAACAACTTACGTATTGGCCACCAAGGGACTGCCACATTTGGAAAGCACCAATTCACCAGCTCTGGGGAAACGCAAAAATGTCGGTGGCGAAAGCGGTGACTGTGGTTCATTGGCATCTTTGGTCGAACGATCAGCGGAGAGAGCCTTGCTCCTTGATGCCATGGGCGTTCTCATTTTACTACGCGAATGATGGTCACTGGCCGTACTGCTGCCGGCATTAATGGATAACTGTGAAGATGTTTTTGATTTCATTGCGGATCCCGGTATACCATAATCTCCACATGCTGAACGACTACGTCTTGGCCGCCTGGCACGGGCTGAGCTTAATGGCCCCGGTGTACGCAAGCGCGCCGATTGATGTGGTGGCAGTTGTTGGGTTCTCATAGCAGATGAATTCAAATAGGCTGCATTTGTTGTCGATGAGCCTAAACTGGCTGATGTGGAACTATCCTCTGTAAGGTAGCCTTTACCAAATGAGTCAATAGCCAAGAGAATTTTATGTAAAATAATAGATTAGGAAGAAAAGTAGTAATGAGATGAGGCGTGTGTGCGCATATTATAACAAAAACATGTGTGGTGTGTGCATAAGATAGATATTTTTGTAATAAAGAATGTAAATAGTACCATAAATCCCAAGTGATTAGAATAGCAATACATATAATGAGACCTATACTTGTCTAGCGATTTATATTAAATATGAAAATTGCTAACGGATAAATTGATACTCATTAATGAAAAAAGGCTTCCAGATTAACAACATTCAATGGAAATTTATATCCATTAAACCATTATGAAAAGTCTTCCACATAAATAGGTACCCCAAACAAAATATCTTCTAACTCTACAAATATTTACGAAATTCCTGCTAAGGAATTTTCTACGGAGAATGTTTTTATATTTTCTAGTTACAGAACTTCTAGTTTTCTGCATATGGTCTTTTGCAAGTTATTTATCTTATGTATTTAAATTCAAATGACGTTGCAAAGGTTATTCCTGTGAGTGTAACACTCGCATTATCGCAACGACCCAAATGCAGGTATCTGTCCTTCAAAATTTCACAATAACAACAAAACGCTAAAGACCAAAACTAAGCATGATCAAAGAAATGATTTTCCAAAAAATAAGGGTGGATTTATATGGAAAAGAAGCAAAGAAATTTCACAAGGTGTTAAGTAAAACATCTACATCGGTTTTTTCCATTGACAGATTGTTACCAATATGTTCCCAAAAACAATATGACAACTATGAATTCCATGACACCAAAAAAGCCGCTGAGCCCATGAAGATAACCACCAAGAAGTATTCATGATTATTTACAAAACATTCAAATAACTCACCCTCGTCATTGGGATTTGTAATTTTAGCCGAACGCAGCAATGTGGAATTTGACATGTTTTCTTCATTTCGTAATTTCATTTTTTTATCCCAGTCGGCAAATTTCTCCAAGTCCATGTCGAAAACATCGCAAATTTTCATCTGCAACAAAGCTGTACTTGTCTTTTGCAACAACATTGTAATGCGCTGCTCAAACGATGTCACATAGTCCTGGACTTTAACATCGAAATTATTTTGGAAACCCTCCAAGGTATTTTCAAATTCCCTTATCTTTTCTTCGCGTACGGCTTCCTCACGATTACGCTTGGAACTTTTTGAAACCTTGGTGCGCGGCATTTTTTCTGTATTGTTGTTTTGATCCTGCTTCGGTTTTACGTGAGCTATTTGCTAAAGCGATTTTAGAGCAATCGCTATAATTTTCCTAGGTAATTTCCACAATTTTTCTTCTGTTGATTTTTCACTTATTTTGGTTGCTTCGTACGTTCAAAAAAATATTTATAAAATGCCGCGACAAATCAGTTGAGGAGGTCACACACAAGCTTGAATTTCCAAGATCGATACGATTTCTTCCAATGCAATGTTGGCTGCACTGCTTACTGTGTATGTGTTGCCAACTATTTTGTTTAATTTGTTCAGCAAACATGAACGTATAGCGTAAAACTTATAAAATCAAAGATAGAAAATAGAAATAAAATAAATAAAAAGAACAAAATTGGGGTATTATTAAAAGGCGATGACTTTTACGAAGGTTTAAGTCGTCTATTATCGGCTGCCATATAAAATTTTGCTTGAAATGTAATTTTTCATCAATGCAGTCGTACATAAAGTTTCTGTAGATCGATTTGCATTTTTGAAGATAAAAATTGTATATACTCGTAATTAATTTATTTGCAAGTGTCTAGAAATCATAATAATATTCAAGCAAATATAAGAAGTAAGCTATAAATTCGTTATATTTGTAATTTTAATTTATATGTTTTTTGCGCCTGCCGTAAATAAGAGATTTATAGATCGAATTTTGACTATGCGCTTGTTCTTATGCCAGCCTACTTAACTCGATTAACACTCACACGGCCACTGCAACGCGGGTTTCGATCAAATCGCTTCTTTACTTTTCGAACTATTTCTGCTGATTTTGCTGTTTTCTTCCGACCACTTCCTTGACGTCGGGCTACGCTACAAAGATTTATTCAAACTTAAATGCTGGAGTGCTCTAACGATAGCCAGTCAAATATAAAGAAATCACAATTTTTTTCTGGAAAATTCTCCCCAAAATGCTTTTGTACGCTTGTAAATAAAATAATGAGCTGTCACTGGAATAATTTTAACAGCTGTCGGACGAGTGGCTTAGAAATGACAGCAGTCTGAAGATGGTTGCAGTTTTTTTTTATCTCACCTTGTAGATATTTCTTTTGGAGATATAATTCGACGCAAAGATATTTTTTAACTTAATCAAGGTTAAGGGACGTTTAATTCACAATTGCTTGCATGGTAAAAGAATACAGGCAGATGTATCATCGCTTGGAAACATTGATATGTCAAAAATTTTAAAATGTTTTTTTTTTTCAAATATAAGTAGATATTTATTCGTTTTCTTATACGACATCAGTCGGAGGTTATTATAATATGCGATTTTCAACAATTTTTACAAATTTGAATAATTTTTCATACAAAAGTTTCAATTTTAAAATTGATTTGACGTTTCATTGTCCCAGCAGCTGTGTCGATACGTCTACCTGTATTCTTCTACAATGATTGCTTGCATTTTGTCAATACGTTGGATTTCAGCTGTTCTTATCGGATGACATTTTAAATAGGCTTTGAATTAAACTTGTGACAGATGTGGCTTAAACAAAAATCATCAATTCTTTGTAAAATATGGTAACACCTAATAAAGTATTTTTTTTAAAATATGGTAACATTTGGTATTTGTTTAGAATATACAGGTGAAAACAAAATAACCGGAAATAAAAATACCGGCCAAAACAAAAATCACATGGAATATGTAAACAGAAAACACTTCTCTCTCTCTCTCTCTCTTTGCAAATGAGAGCAATTGACAAAGGTATGGTGAGTTTTTGTAGCTGCATCAATTTTTGGTGAATATGTTACAAAACTTTGAGAAGGATAACTGATGTCGTTGTCGTCCTAGGAGAACATATATTAACTTGTACGAAGCGTGAAGAACGAACAGTTGAGCATTAACTACGTTACCGAACGGTTGCTAAAACCCCAAGCTATACAAAAGCTAAGTGAGAAAAAAATCCTTTGTTATAAAAGAAAATCCCAGTCTACAGCAATTACACAAGAGCTCGGGAAGATTTTTCAAATTTTCTTCCTTGAAATTTTTATGAATAAAATAATTAAAATATCACGGGAATAACAAAACAAAGTAGACGCCAATAAAGGAAACACATTGAAATTAACACTTTCGAGTGTTAATTTGTATTTCTTAACAAAAAAAAAAATATTTTTTCCTACTAAAAAATATCTCATAACGAAAAAAAACCAACAGCTACTTTTACTGAAACGCGAAATTGTACGTTTGGAAGGTCAACTAAGCCTGTTTTTCTGGCAGGAAAACGTATTTAATCCCCCCTGGAAGACCTAGGGATATTAATTTATTGATTTATAACAAAAATTCTAAACAACATAACGGTATAATAAAAAAAAACAATCATACGACGACAAACGTATACACAAATAGTCCAGGTATCCTAACATACGACCAATTTGCCGAACAGCCAAACCAAAGAAAAAACAAAGATAAACGAACCAGGCTAATAGCATTCTGTTAAAGAGAGCGTGAGAGAAAACGGAAGTAGACGTAGTGACAAAGTCACTCACCACCACTCTTCCTCGTTGTGGTTGCACCAGAAAAAAACGGCTGTCAAAACAAAAACAACGCCAAGCAAATTGTCATCATTATCGTCGTCTCAACCTCTGACAAGGACAATAATTATCCTTATACAACACTGCAGCATCACAAATCTCCGAACTAACCCAATAACCTAAAAAAGAAGCAGGCTTGGCGAGACTAGACCGTAACCTCAACCTCATTTGCAAAAATGTTACCATAAATCGAGAGTTGGCGTTTGCTTTCAGCATTTTCTGTATGTTTGGTTTAAAGTTTCTACATTTCGTTTTGTTATTTTAAAAGAAAATAAACAACAACAGCAGCAGGAAACAAAAAAAATTTCCCTACGAAACAAGTGCCAAATATATATTTGTATAATTTTTGTACTAAAAACTAAAACGAGATTTTTTGTACCACACTGTCGTTAAGCAAAAACAGTGTAACAACTACCCAACAAAGACGACCAATTATTCCTCCTATTGTTTTGTTTTTTTGTCTAATCTAATAATAAAAAACACCCAAAAACAGCAGAAAAGAAATAAATAAATACGAAACATCGCAAAAAAGGAAGTTCCGATTCAACGCATCAAGCACTTTTAAGTGCCTGAGCGAAACAAAACCAAAAAATACATATATAAATTGCTATAGTTGTTCTTGTTGCTGAATCTTCAATTTCTTCTATAGTAGCTGCATATTCGAATTTCTTTCTCTACACAAGAAATCCAAATAAAAAATCACAAAATTCCGCCGTCTATCGCATTTGCGTTTGCGAAACTATTTTCTGGCGGCCTCAAGCGTAGCAGATTTAAACCAATGCATTTAGGTTTGAAACATCATAAACCAACAAATAAAAAGCATCAAAAACGATTTTCCGGCAGCAGTAAAATATGTCTTTATCCCGAGGAGAATTCCCTTTACAGGTAAGCATCAATTCGAGGCGATAATAATAATATACAGATACTATTGTGATTGAATACCATTTGAGCTGTCAAAATGTTTTTTTTACATAGTTGAAGGACTAACAGAAAATCAAAATAGAATTTTGAAAGGTTGACATTGACATTTCAAACTTTCAATTGTAGATGTCTATAGGTGAGAATACATAAAACGCTTTTTTGACTGGCTTGAGTCATCGGCTGTCTTCTTTGGAGTAGAACAAAGGAGCGACCAAAATCGAACTAAGTCAACCTAAAACTCATTTGTTCCTCTACGAAGAAGACAATCGACAACTTAAGCCGGTCAAAAAAATCGTTTTATGTATTATCACCTTTAGACGTTATTTAGATGTCAATTCTTGATGTCTAAAGGTGAGAATACATAAAATGCTTTTTTGACTGGCTTAAGTCATTGGCTGACTTCTTCGGAATAGAGCAAAGGAGCAGCCAAAATCGAACTAAGTCAACCTAAAACTCATTTGTTCCTCTACGTAAGAGTCGGTGTAAAGAAAATTTTATACTATTACCCAAATCCATCGTCCATGTAAACCTGTTAAATGTCGCGTTAACTATGCTGTTAATTATTTTTTGGTTAATTGTTGACAAATACATATCATAACAACCTCCGATTTGACAAGGTAAATTACAGAAAATTCAGAGATGGGCAAGCTTAATTGAAATAACTTTACCTTCTTAATTTTACCATACATCTAAAGGTATATGCATCAATGCATGGTAGAAGAATTCAGGTAGATGCATCAACACTTGGGAACATTGAAACAAAAAAAAAAAAACAACAAACAAAAAAAATTAAGTTTCTTTTCAAATATAAGTAGATTTTTATATGTTTCCTTATACGACGTCATTCGGAGGATATTATAATACAGGTTTTTCAACAATTTTTTCAAATTTAAATAATTTTTCATTCAATATTTTTAATTCCAAATTTGGTTTGACAGTTCATTGTCCCAGCAGCTGTGTCGATGCATCTACCTCAATGCTTTGGAACATTGATATGTCAAACAATTTAAAATGTTTTTTTCGAATATAAGTAGATTTCTATATGATTTCTTATATGAAGTCAATCGAAGGGAACTACGTTTTCAATAATTTTTACAAATTTGAATGATTTTTTATTTAAAATTGTCAATTTCAAAATTGGTTTGACAGTCATTGTCCCAGCAGCTGTGTCGATGCATCTACCTATATTCTTCTAGCATGGTATTGACGATATAATAGTATATTTATATGATTTATTATACGAAGTCAATCGAAGGGAACTATAATATACGTTTTCAACAATTTTTACAAATTTGAATGATTTTTTATTTAAAATTGTCAATTTCAAAATTGGTTTGACAGTTCATTGTCCCAGCAGCTGTGTCGATGCATCTACCTATATTCTTCTAGCATGGTATTGACGATATAATAGTATATTTATATTAGAGCTCTTTGTCGGGTTTACATTTTTACGATGTTTTATTAGATATATATACAATGGAATTGGCAATGACAGGGTGGACTAAGAAGGTGTTAAACCAATTAGACTTTATGTAATTCCATTTACTCTACAATGTGATAGATGTTTACACTGTATGCAGGGATTTATAGTCCGATTTATTGTCATTTGGTTATTTTAAAACATATGACGTCTTTTTTAAGCAAATTTTATGAATAAATATTTCTCTTTCTATGTCCTTGACCCTGTAAACATCGCATTTTTAAAAAAACACATTGCAACAATTTATACACATTTTCTTTCTATACTGCAGTCATAGCGAAAAAACCCTAAATTAAAACATCAAACAAAACTATGTCATGTATACGCAGTATTGACCTCAATGCGTGTGAATTACTAAACACCCAGAGCCTGTATACTTACCTTATTACATTCAGACCTTACCACCATAGCCCCACTTAGTCCATTCATTCTTGTATATAAACCTGTTACAAAGCAATAAAGATGTTCTTGAACTTTCTGTGTCATTAATGTACAAAAACATGCCATACCAATTCAATTTGCAACATGAACTCAATTCGATACGTTCCTCGTCGGTTTTTGTTTATTAACACACATGGCTACATGCTTATCACTCCGCATATGGTTTATTGTCAGCCAAAGAATAAATGAGATGAAAACATAGTTAGTTTTTGCGCAAACTCACCACAGCTCTTGAACCACTCTCCCACTGAATTGTTCACTTGCAAAGTGTTGCTTCCGTTATCCTACGACCGTACATTGACTTTGACAATAAACAAAAAATTACAATTTGCTGACTATTACCACAAATTTCCTTAAATGAGTCCCTTTTGTCGTCTTTGTTACATTTGACCTTTCATCTCGACCCGATCCATTGTTCCTGACTGCCCTTACACATGTTACTGATATGAAAATGTTTTGACAACAATTGCCATCAAAACTATCTTTGTTTTTCGCTATTGACATTGTACTGTTTTTCTTTTGTGAGAACACCAAGCTACTCTCTTTCTCTATCTCTTTTCATACCACTATCTCAAGTGTTTCTTGTTGTTATTATTTTGCAGTAGCTATTAGTAATGCATGGCAAATATAAACATGTTTGTTTATTGCTGCACAAGCAGGGCGAACGATTGGAAAGTTCATGTTTTCCCGTTAGTCAGCGTTATTGTGAATTAATAGCAAGGGTATGGGACGAGTTTAGTCATACGCCAATTGATATTTTTGATTATTCATAACTTTGTTCATGGGTCGGGAAATAAGAGAGATATAAGAAAGGCTAGAGACAAGTATTAGGTTGGAACAGCGCTATGATTTTTTTTTATCTATGCCTTTGAAATGAAGTTATTTATCCCACTTGAAATGTTGCTCAATGTTGGTTTACTTTCCCAGTAAACGTACGTTTACACATGGTACAATAAAATCGAGGTGATGCCATATGATTTTAATTTTTTTTTTTAATAATAGAAAAATTGTTTAGAAAATATTCAAATTCGTTTTTTGTTTTCAATTATTTACTTAAAATCAATGCTACAAGTTGTTTGGGGTTTTTAATTGTTTTAATAGTAATTCTGACATTACAAGCCAAACAGGTATACCTCTATACTTGCAATTTTTTTCAAAATTAGTCTACCTTGTCTTCATTGTATCAAGCGTTTACATACAAAATCTCTCTCTGGATTAACCCTGATAATCAATCACAATACTGTTGACTATATAAAACATGCTTTACATTTATTGTGATTAAACAATTATCAGAGTTAATCCGGGTAGAGATTTTGCATGTAAAAGTTCTTTAAAGGCGAGTTTACACATGATGTTATAGTCATATGTAATGAGAGACTTGTTCCACATTTATCTCTAGCATTTGTATGGCATACTTTAAGGCACTCCACATAAATTTTAAACTAAAAAGAAATACTCTATGGTTATTTGAAATTACTATATTTTCAACGTAAGTCATGGTAGAAGAATACAGGTAGATGCATCAACACTTGGGAACATTGATATGTCAAAAATTTTATAAGGTTTTTTTTTTTTTTTTTCGAAAATTAGTTGTTGAGAAATGAAATTTTTGAATGAAAAGTTATTTAAATTTGTAACTATTGTTAAAAATGCATATCGTAACAACCTCCGACTGGCGTCCTATTAGAAAACATATACAAATCTACTTTTTTTGAAGAAACATTTAAAATTTGTTGACATATCAATGCTCCTAAGCGTTGATGCGTCCACCTGTAGTCTTCTACCATGACGATGCATTGCAGTTGACAATTTAAATCCACTTGGTATAAACAACACAATGGAAACGTACTATAACATAATACGATAATTAGGCAAAGCTGGTATTAAAAACTACTCAAATACAACCCTGATTTTGAGCCATTGTTGAATTAAAAATGTAAACAACAAAAATAGCAACAATATATTTATAGTTTTTTCGATGCTGAATCTTTGACTTATGGTCAAAATTTATATTCATAAATCCATTGTATATATATTTCATAGAAAAACATCTTTGAGTCATTCAAAAGAATACAACGCAGTCTTTTTGGAGTTTTCTTTGGACTACTTTCATTATGTTACTACCTACATAAACCTCCTTCTTTTCCATACATTTCATCATCATCCTGTGTTTACGTTCAATTGTTTATTACCAGTAACTGCCAGTCTGTAACCATAGGGGAGATCACTAAATTTTTTTTTTGTTCTGTTTAATTTGATGATAGACGACAAGATAAATTTACATGTTATTATTGTTGTTTAATATGCAATTTTTTAATTCAAAAGTATTATAAACAATAATTCGAATAAACTCCTTCGAGACACGCGAGTACAATTTACAGCAAGCGCCTTAAAGTATGCCCTGACTTGAATTGTTGTTTTTTTGGTCGCAATGCTTATGACAACTGAACAAAGAAAGGAGACGTATAGGGATGCCAAACAGCAAAAAAATAACAAAAGTGGTATTTTTCCACAAAATAAATTAAATAAATAAAAAAAAATATTAATAAAGAAAGTAATAATAAAATACAAATAATAATAAAAAAAATAATAATAAAATAAAAAATAATTAAAAAAATATTAATAATAAAATACGCTTATATTGGGTGCTTTTCAATCTAACAACAAACACAAGGCCAAAAAATGAAAATGGTATTTAAAAAAAATTAAATTAATAAAATGAAAAAATAAATCGATAATGATAAAAATAAAAAATAATTATAATAATAATAACAATAATAATAATAATACCACACCATCACCATGGCCGGCACTTGAGTTCTGGTGGCCAACCGAAGGTGCACACTTGCAGCAGACCTCTAAACACGATCATTTTGTTTGTTTACAAACTGCTGGACAACGAATGTTGTATCACGGTAACGAGCGATGGTACGAGACACAACAGATTTATTAACACTTAAATGCTGAAGTGCTCTAACGATAGCCACTTGCGGTTTTCCAGCCAAATATAAAGAAATCACACAATCACGCTTGAATTCCATAAAAAAAAAAACTTTTTTTCTGGAAAATTCTCACTAAAATGCTTTTGTACGCTTGAAAACAATATAATGAGCAGTCATTGGAATAATTTTAACAGCTGTTGGATGAGTGGCTTAGAAATGACAGCAGTCTGAAGTTGGTTGCAGTTTTTCTCATATCATCTCATCCTGTACACAACAACTAACATCTTCGAAAACTCTTTCCTTAAGATGAAGGGGTTGAAATCTTTATCTTTATATGTTTAAGTCCAAAAAGAGATAAATAAACTTAGTATTCCGAAGATATGGATCGTATATGTTTTTGTGTAAAAAGGAATGCCGAAAATAAGACTATTTATTATTTTTGTGAAATCTGCCACTTGTCATACGAAAACATTTTAGATATGACAATAGATTTTAAAAGGGTTGCCATATTAAATTTAGCAAATGAGTTTACCTTTATGTTTTTGTCATGTTTAGAACTGTAGGATTTTTGTAAAATATATATTTTATATTGACAACACTAGGCCTCCTATCCTCCTTTCCTTTTCCATAGAACAAAAATGCTTATATAAATTAATTGAAAATAAAATACAGAAATAAAATACATGCTGAATGAAATGACGTCAACCGATTTAGATGTTATCACACAGGTTATATGTGTGTGACACTACTACTACCGATGATGATGATTATGCCTCGAATTTTGTCATTATTGTATGTAGACATGTACAACTCTTTCTTTGTTCATATCACATTCCATGTCTAAGGGAAAATTCCATTTTCTATTATAACAAAAAGTAACCATTTGCTCTGTCATTATTATTTGCTCATACCTTTACCTTGGTCTTCCAAGGAGGTCTACTACTCACTCTACGGGAAGAAACTTGAATTATGACAAGAGAATTTGTAGGAGTGAACGGCGTGTTTGATTAATTAATTGGCCTACCCTCGTATGGAGGTTATTGTTAAATCGATTGAAAGTTTATTTGCAATTTCCGCTCAAAAAAATAAACATCAGGGTTTTCCTGTTGGTAACAAAAGACACAGTTTCCTTTTTAATAAATGCGAAAAATTGAGCTATGGACTAAAGACACGCCCTATGTACTTGATATAACTATTGTCACAATGCAACGACTGGGTTTAAACCCCCAAGTTTTGTCTTTGTATCAATTTTGTTTATTAACAATTCCCCATTCCCTTTGGAAATTGTGTAGCAATTTCGAAGAAAAAAAAAGAAAACATGACAGACGAGCAATAGGAAATTGAAAACTTGTTATTCTCATTATTCTCCTTGCCGTTGTTTACTAACAACACCGCCAAAGGAATATGGAATTTTCCCATAACGAACAAATAAATACTAAGCCATATTATGTTCCAATGACAAGGTCAAGACCATAAAGCTTATATCCCTTTCAGCGACAGCCTACCACCCATCCATCCACCCGCCGATAACAAAGCAATAAACGGAACCTTGAAATGCTCATTAAAAAAAAAAAAAGCGGCAACATTTTTAAGAAGCTTTAAAGTCGCTGACAGTTGACATGCAGAACAGATTTATTTTTTTTATTGCACAAAGAGAAGAGAACGAGGCTACACGAGGTCAAAGATATTCCCCCTATTTGGTATTAGTGTAACAAAGGGAAACGTTTCGCTGGCAAATAAGAAAGTCATTTGTGGCGTTTGCGGTCCTCTCAACAATAAAAAATGGTGAATTTTTTATGATTTTGAATTTGGTTGACAGGACAGTAAAGAGGAAACCATAATAAAGGATTCCAAAATCCTTGGCCATTCTATTCCCGGAGTAGGCCTAGATGTGTATTTTCATAGAAATAAACAGAAATTGTGTGTATAATGTGGAAGATAAGGAATTCGGTAAGAAGTAGAGCACATTGAACTTATCCATGCTCGTCTACAAAAACACCGAGGACCGAAGTTCTTTTTGCTTTTTATAGAATAATATTTGGAATCCAGCAAATCTATAAAGACTTATTGGTCTTGAGCTTCTCTTTGAATACAAATTGGCGTTCGGCTCACTTTTGAAGACATCCAGGTCTAATATTTTCGATTATGTCTTATCAAAATGCTAATCCGCTATGGATTGCTATTTCGGGTTCACAGCGTAAGTCAAACAGTTTTGATATTTATAAGGTTTCACCTGTAGGTGTAAGGTTTTGACCACAATTTCTAACCAAATTAGCGCCAGCTGACTTTCCGGGTTTTGTAATAAATAAAAATTCTTGCTCTGTTCCAGAACCGAAAACATATTTTTCTTTTATGAAATCCATTTCAGAACAATGAAGTTAAACTCATTTGCTAAATTTAATATGGCAACCCTTTTCTGATGAACTCGAATTTGTCAATTTTCATAAATAAAATCTCTTGTCATATCTAAAATGTTTGCGTATGACGAGTGGCAGATTTTATAAAAAATAATAAATAATCTTTTTTTTCGGCATTCCTTTTCACATAAAAACATATACGTTCCATATCTTTGGAATACTTAGTCTATTTATCTGTTCTTGGACTTAAACATATAAGGATAAAGATTTCAACCCCTTCATCTTAAGGAAACGTTTTCGAAGATGTCAGTTCTTGTGTGTAGAATGAGATGACAAACCGCAACCAACTTCAGACTGCTGTCATTTCTAAGCCACTCTTCCGACAGCTGTTAAAATTATTCCAGTGACAGCTAATTATATTGTTTACAAGCGTACAAAAGCATTTTCGTGAGAATTTTCCAGAAAAAAAAGTTATTTGTAATGGAATTCAAGCGTGATAGTGTGATTGCCTTATATTTGGCTGGAAAACCACAAGTGGCTTAGAGCACTCCAGCATTTAAATGTGAATAAATCATTTGTGTCTCGCACCATCGCTTGTTACCGTGATACCTGGCAGTGTAGCCCGACGTCAAGGAAGGGGCCGGAAGAAAACAGCAACATCAGCAGAAATGGTTCGAAAAGTAATGAAACGACTTGAATGAAATCCGCGTTGCAGTGGCCGAAAAATGACTCGAGTGCTGAACATATCGCAATATTCGGCAAATATTGAAAAATGGGCTCGGGGTAAAGCCATTGAAATTCCAAAAAGTGCAAGAACTTACACCGCAACAGAAAGAAAATAGACTCAATAGAGCAAAAGAGTTGCATTGCTTGCCCGAAAGTGGTGAACTGCCGAATTTGGTTTTCTCCGACGAAGAGAAAACATTCGTTGTTCAGCAGTTTGTAACCAAACAAAATGATCGTGTTTACTTGCCAAAAAGGTCAGGTCAGCTGAAAATGTGCACGTTCGGTTGGCCACCAGAACTCAAGCGCCGGCCATGGTGATGGTGTGGGCCACCATAACAGCCGATGATCGCTCTCCGCTCGTATTAATCGACCTTGGCATCAGAATAAATGCCGATTATTATCGCGAAAATATTCTGGAGGGTCTATTAAGGTCTTGGGCACGCAAACATTCGCCGGGAATGGGCCAAAATACCGCAAAGCGACATTCGGGCAGCGTTTGACGGTTTCATTGGCCGTTTGAAGGCCATAATTCGTGCCAAAGGTGACCAATTCGAACAAATCTAAACTTATTCTAAAATTTGGTGTTCTTTCCGACATTTTTTGCTTTCATTCAATAAAATTTCAAAAAAAAAATGTAAAAAATATGGCGTTTGACTTTGTTGCAGTTTTTTTATCTCACCCTGTATAGTCTTCAAGGGAAGTTTTGCATCTTTTCACAGGCAATCAATTTAGTCTATGAAAAAATATCAATACTTGTAGTCCTTTTGGGATTTTTGGTCGGGTTTCATTAAAATTTTACAAAGAAAGTGATAAATACCAGTTGGCAATACTGCATCTGAAGAATTGTTATCTATTCGCCTAAAAGTATGCTCCGTGTTTTGTCATTTTTTAATCCGCTCTAAGTTTTAACACGATCTTTCGTTTCCCTTTTCTGTTTTTTTTACAGGATTCACGGGGATCGGTGTACTGCGCGAGTGAACCGGACCCAATTGGTCGAATCCAGTACGAGTCGGGAAGGCTCGTTCAATCTAATGCCACCCTCGGTCATCAAAGGCAACTCGACAGCCGCTCAGCCATTGACGGCAATTCCACCGAAATTATTGAAGTCATCTGTGAACCGCAGTATAAGCGAGAAAGTGAAGCGGGTGAATTGCCCATTGTGGCCTGTTCCCAGCCACCGGCACCATCGTTACTCACCGAATGCCAGCAATCGAGTGGTTCCCTCTTCTCAATTGTCTCAGCACCGCCGGTGCCGTTGGCTGACCTTGAAAACAAACAAATGGATTCGCTCGGTGTCGGATTGCAACCGAGCTTTGGCCTGCAAATGGGAGGTAGTGCCCAGAATCCCTTCATTTCAACGCACTCGACGGTATCGATTGGCGACGTTGCCGCATCGGCTCCCGGCTCAGCGACCTCAACAATACCCCGGCGTCCGGCATCGTTGCCCATTGAGACACCCTACTGTCCGGCACCGGCCAGCCGAACCCTTCATGCCAGTTTGTTGGAGCATCAGATATCGGAAATTGAGGAGGACGACAATGAAAACCTGTTAACGGTATCAAGCATAACAGCACGGCCGTTAATAGCCAAATCCCGGGAAATTCGATCGCACCGCAATGGCTGCGATGGCGGCACGGATAAACGCGGCAAGCGTGGCGGCAAGTCGAAGAGTGGTGGGGGTGTACAGAAGGCACCCAGTGGCATTTCCAGCATCTCGAGTGCCCGGGATCGTGTCAGCTCCGGTCACCCACCGTCATCACGTTCCTCGGTTAGCACAGATCCGCCGGACGGTGGTTATGGTTGGTTCATTGTCTTCGGGGCATTTTCGGTGCAATTTTGGGTGGCGGGTCTGGTCAAGTCCTATGGAGTGTTGTATGTGGAAATCATGGAGACATTTCCCAGTTCTACAGCCACGGTGGCCTCATGGATACCGGCCATCCTGTCGGCCTTGTGTTTGGCTTTGGCTCCCGTTTCGAGTGCATTGTGTCAGAGATTTTCGTGTCGTACGGTGGTGTTTGTGGGCGGTCTTTTCTGTGCCCTGGGCATGACACTGAGTTACTTTGCCACCAGCTTGGTCCATCTACTCTTTACGTTCGGCATCTTGACAGGTATTGGTGGTGGCCTATCGACAACACCGGGCATTGTAATTGTCTCACAATATTTCGATAAACACCGGGCCTTGGCGAATGGCATCTGTGTTTCGGGTACCGCAACTGGAAGTTTTATATTGCCGGTGCTAATCAAACATTTGGCTGAGAATTTTGGATTTCATGGCACCATTTTAATCTTGGGATTCTGCATGTTCGATGTATGTCTATCGGCTTTGCTGTATCGACCACTCGAATCTATGCAAAACGATGAGAAAATAACGGAAGAGGAAGATGCCACCAAGCCGTTGAATGATATAAATCCTAGCAACATTGATATGTTGACCAACTCCACATATTTGGATACCTGCGATGATGGCCTGAATACGAAATTTATTGAACACCTTTTTATGGAAGAATCGAAAAATCGTCTCAACGATTATTACAATAATCGATATAACGGTAAGTGAGACAATGGGGGATTTGCGAGAAGTGCAATTCACCATGGAAGCCTTATTGTGATTGAAATTACGAAATATGAGCAAAGAACCGAGTCATTCATCTCAAATGTCAAAATTAAATGTTTTTTTTTTTCTTTTACAGCTTCTGAAAAATCTGTTCCTAATTGTGCCCAAGAGAGCGACGATGAAATCAAGGACATCATTGGCGAAACTACATTCATCAAGCCCATGAAAAAGGTACGCAGTTCGGGCATAATGCATTCCGTTGAAGATCTAAGCACCACCTCGACCTGGGTGTATCGTAAAAATTCCGGCACCGAATCAAATCGAGCTTCGCGACGTCGTCGTCCCAATGTCTTTGCCAATGATGAGATTATTTCCAAGATACAGGCCCATTTGGAGAAGCCTCTATCACCGCCTACGGTTGTGACGCGTGGCTTGAGCAAGAGCATGGAAATACCCACACCCATCAGCAGTATGAGCGAACAAAAGTCATCGGAAAATCCCCAACAGAATGGCAGCATTATTGGCATCAATTCTCTCGAAGAGGAAGAAGTCGACGACGATGTTCCTTTGACGTGCTACGAGCGCATAGAAATCTATTTGGATATAAGTTTATTAAAGGATCCGACATTTATATTAATGTGTCTATCGGTGACCCTAATGTCGGTGGGTTGTCCCTATATGTTGTATTATTTACCGGCCCATGTTATATCGATTGGTGAGCATATTAGTCGTGGATTTTAATGGTGAATAAAGTTAATCTGTTTTCATTTGTTTAGGTTACAATAAAAGTGAAGCTGGTTATTTGGTAACGGTAAGCGCTGTCTTGGATTTGGTGGGACGTTTGGGTCTGGGTTGGCTATCCGATTTGCAGTTATTTGATCGCAGGAAGATCTATATTGTGTGGTAAGTTATTTGTTTTTTTTTTACTTCTAAAGAGAGAGAGGGAGAGAGAAAGATAAGGAGATATATACAAATACAAAATATGTTTGTGAAAATGTCAAAATTTGTTATGTCTAATTTTGTGATACATTTTGACACTTAACCAGTTGATATTGCCTTACGGCAAAATAAAGAGGTACTCCATTTAGCACTGCTGATAATCTAGACGAGTTATCAAAATTGTGATTGGGATCACACATTGCAAAAAGAAAACAAACAGTAGACAAGTTATCATGGTAGAAGAATACAGGTAGATGCATCATCCCTTGTAGATATTGATATGTCGAGAATATATAAAAATATTTACAAATAAATAAATTGATTTAGAGACGTTTAGAGGCTGTTAAGATATGTATTTTTAATAAATTTTATTAATTTAAATTTTTTTATTAAACATTTTTAGTTCCAAAAAATTTTGACAGTTCAATGCACCATCAGCTGCATTGATGCGGAACCTGTATTTATTTTTCATGCAATTCAAACAAAATTTTGACATTTAAGATGATATCATGGTAAAAGAATACAGGTAGTCCCATAGACACAGCTGCTGGGACAATGAACTGTCAAACCAATTTTGAAACTGAAAATTTTAAATGAAAAATAATTCAAATTTTTAAAAGATGCTGAGAGAAGCATATCATAACAACCTCCGATTGCTGTCGTTAAAGAAATCACGATAAATTTGACAACGTAAACATTTATATTAAGGTGAGAGTACATAGACAGCTTGAAGTCTTCGCATGGCATATTTTGTGACGTATCATAAAAGGGATGCCAGAGCCGCACTCAAATCCTAGCGTCGTTGTTCCTTATAATTTGACATTAAAATGACTAGGCATGATGCCAAGCTGCTTATGTACTCTCACCTTTAGAGATTTTTTATGGAAGTGGTAATTGAAGATATACTCACTGGGTTATGAATTCCGCTAACCGTAAAAGTGCTATAAACACAGACTTGTTTATTTGTATTTCCAACCCTTAGTTCTTTTTCTTAGACACTTTCTAATGTCATAATTTCGTGTTATTTTCATTTTCAGTATCTTCGGTGCTGGTCTCTCCGTACTCACCATACCCTCAGAGTACACCATCTATTTGGTTGGCCTGTCTGCGGCAATTTACGGCTTTTGTTTGGGCAGTTGGTATGTCCTGATGCCTGTCTTGTTGGCCGATATCTTTGGTACGGATCGCATTAGTTCCAGTTATGGTCTCGTCCGGATGTTTCAATCGATTGGCGCCATATCGGTTCCACCGTTGGCTGGATTTTTACGTGATCTCTCGGGTAGTTATGTTATTGTTTTCTATTGTATGGGTTCCTGTATGGTATTAGGTTGTCTACCGTTGGTTGTGTGGGCCGTCTTGGAGTGTCGTGAACGTAAGCTGTATCAGGCTAATGATAATGAGGATAACTCATCTGTATCGTAAACTAAAGGAGAACATTAAAACTATTTGTATTTTTTAAGAAAAAGTAAACAACAACAAAAAACAAAACGAGACGGAATAGATGTCTTTGGTTTAGTGAGTAGTCAGGATTTTTTACCCCGTAGAGAAGAAAAAAACAAATTCCCTTAGAAGTGTTATAATTTCGGAATATCTGTTGTGTAACTAAAAACCCTTGGCTTATAGTATGTTTACATTAGAGTTTTTTTGGCCGGATTAACCTCCTTTGAGAGGATTTATTTGACGTATATGCAATGAAATTGACAATTTAAATCCACTTGATTTACTAAATCCGGTAAACTGTAAATGTAGTATTCGATGGGTTTCTGAAACGGCTCTGATGTCTCTTAATGTGAAAGATAAACAAATATTAAAATTAGAACACGACATTTTGATATTAAGTCTGCTTTTGAACAGCTGGTGTAATATTTTAATAAATATCAATATTTGTTAATCTTTCATTTTTGACATTTTATAAAGTATGTGAAATGTCAAAAAGAAAAATAAACAAATATTAATATTTAATAAAATATTACAACAGCTGTTCTAAATCCGATTAAATGTCAAAATGTCATGATCTATTTTTACTATTTGTTTGTCTTTCACATTTTAGTTTCACTTACAAAAATGTTTTTGACAGCTAATAATTAGCTGGTATTAGCGGACTCTGAAAAAGGTACAACTGTGATTGGTTTTTAAAGCGGCTTACACTGCGCAATTAATAGGCATTTCAAACAAATGCTCTCAAGCTACTGTCAATGTCAAAATGGGTCTATTTTGTTAAGTATGTCGTCTGAGCTTTTGTATTAGGTCATTCGGTAAGATCAGCTGATTTTCTCCGAATTGTCAAAATACATACTAGTTGTGAATTTATCATATGAAGACGTAAACAAGCATTATGACGTAATGAGCATATTAACACGACATTTTTAATGTATCTTGTCTTTATGATTTATATTATAATTTCAATCACAATAACACATTTTGACATTTAATATAGCATTAAGGTGGTCTTGTTGGAGAGGCTGATAATTGAATCATAAATTATATGCAACACTTGAAAAGATCAGCTGATTTTTCTACCAGGCTTTGTAAATCATGGCGCTATAGGTACAGGACCCACGGCAACCGATTGTCTAGATTAATTGTCAAAACACTTATTGTGAATGGAATAACAGTACAAAAGGTAAACAGTTAGTAAAACGCATGGTAGAATCAAGAAGGTAAAGTCATGCAATCATATCTTCACAATTTTTTCAAAATTATACATTTGACAACATCTCATTGTCAAAATATACATTTATAAACACAGAAATCAGAGATGGAAACTTATTTTTGAATGAAATTTGACAAGGTAAATTACAGAAAATTCAGAGTTGGGTAGGCCTATTGGAAATGACTTTACCTTTTTAATTTTACCATGGTAAAACATAAACAAATGTTAACATTAAAGGTGAGAATATATAAAACGCTATTCTGACTGGCTTAAGTCATGGGCAGGATTCTTTGTAGAGAAACAATGGAGTTTTAGGTTTACTTAGTTCGATTTTCGCCCTATGCATCTTTGTTCTTTTCAGATGAAGCTAGCCGGTGACTTAAGCCAGTGAAAAAAAAGCGTTTTATGTATTTTCACCACCATGTCATGGCAGAAGAATACAGGTAGATGCATCAACGCTTGGGAGCATTGATATGTCAAAAAAAATTAAACGTTTTTTTTCATACTACGTCATTCGGAGGCTATTATAATTCGCGTTTTTCAAAAATTTTTACAAATTTAAATAATTTTTCATTCAACATTTTCAATTCCTAAATTGGTTTGATAGTTAATTGTCCCAGCAGCTGTGTCGACGCGTCTACCTATATTCTTCAACCATGCACCATGTTGTAAATGAACCATGGTTTAGACACTAAGAGTCTGTTTACATTTGAGTATCATGATGAAGATGATACATAATGTTGAAAAACATGCCAAACTGATTACGATTAACCATGGTAGAAGAATATAGGTAGATGCATCAACGCTTGGGAACATGTCAACATATTTAAAATATGAATTTTTAACCATTTTTACAAATTTTAATAATTTTTCATTCAACATTTTCAATTCCAAAATCGGTTTAACAGTTCATTGTCCCAGCAGCTGTGTCGATGCGACTACCTGTATCCTTCTACCATACAATTAACCAAATGTTAGGTAATGAACTCCCATGTAAACGTATCCTAACAATTTCGTTTAAGAGACAAGACAGCTGCCTTTAATAAAGGTTATTCACACTACATGATATGTTGAAAGATTTCTTCAAGTTTTATAAAAAATGAGATGAAATATATAGACCAAAATGGGGTCTTTTCAGGTGAGCTGTCTTAAATTTTAGACATCCTCTGAGGAACCTTTTTAAAGCCAAGTTTTTAGCCTACACATTTTGTGAACTACTTTGCATATTTCCGTAAAAGAGTTAGGAATAACCAATATTTGTCCCAAGCTTATAGAGCAGGGACAATGCCCCCCCATATTTTTTAAACAATCTAGAGTATCACATAATAACCTGTGTTGAATTAGAAATCTCCCCATCACTTCTTTTGGTAGTTAGCGAAAATTGTGTGATGCCACAAAAACCTACAAACATACATACATACTTACAAGTAGAAATATCATTTGAATAATTTTTCTACCTATATTTTTCCTGCTCTGGATTTCGCTCCTCCCCAAAAGCGAAACATGCAGACAACAAAAACAAATCAACCTAAAAGCACTAAAATGCGCAAAAGAACTGAGTTATTACAAAAATAAAATAAAGACATTTAATAAAAAAAAAATAAAATATAACAATATTATACAAAAAGAAATATTTAAATATATAAAAAATAAACACCTGCGAATTATACAATTAAAAAACCAGAAAAAAAACTATAAAAACTATAATTTTTATTTAACACAATGAACAATTACATTAGATTTAGCCTGAAAACAAATCCCCAAAAATTTAGTTTTCATCCTCTCGTAATATTAATAGAAATTTAAAGAGCCCCCCCCCCAAGTATTTAAGTAAAAGAAATATGAATTTAAATGTTAAACAACAACAAAACCAATGTTTATTTAAAAAAAATTAAAAAAAAAAAAACAAAAACAAAATCCCCAATGATATAAAAAATGTAGCAACTACGTAAGCATGTATTAAAACTGATGTTGTAAAACATAAAATTATTAAGTGTAATGTAAACAAATTAAATAAATTATGATTATGTTTTTGTCAATGAGAGATTTGGAAAAGAAATCATAGGGGAAAATTGAAGTGGGAGAAGGTAGTGAATGTCCTTTGAGGGAATTGGTAGGAAATCTTAAGTGGGATGGAAACAGAGACAGCCGAAAAAAGTCACTTTTGTTGAGCTAGAGGAAAGGATTGTATATAGACAAGCTGATGGTATGGTCTTCTGTGATTATGAAACCATCTATGCTGAGAGGAGGGTTTTTTCTATTTAGAAGACCTAGAAGATCTTCTGCATGGACAATATACGCTTTGTACACCTTAAGGCGCAAACACATTGAATGTTTTTTTTTACTAGTTTAAGTCATCCGGCTGGCTTCTTCGTAAAAGAACAAAGGAATTTCAGGTTGACTTAATTCAATTTCGGCCAAAAATGTATACTTGTTCTCCCGAGGCACTTTTATTCTTAAACGAAGAACCCAGCCAATGACTTAAGTCAGTAAAAATTTAAGACATTTGAAAACTTTTCCAAGACCTTTTATTGGTCTCTTCAGAATTTCTCTAAGAGGTCTGCCATCCGTGTTCAAGAACTGCCAACCGTAGCCATGCACCATGGTAAAAGAATACAGGTAGATGCATCAACGCTTCGGAACATTGATATTTCAAAAATTTTTAAATGTTATTCCAAAAATAAGTAGATTATTATAAATTTTCTTATACGACACCAATCGAAGGTTGTTACTTTATGTATTTCTCAACAATTTTTACAAATTTGAATAATATTTCGTTTAAAATTTGCAATTCCAAAATTGGTTTGATATTGATTGATCCAGCAGCTGCGTCGATGCGACTATATATATTCTCCTACCATGCTATGTACCTTCAATTCGATTGATAGTATTGTTGATGCTAGCAACTATTATTTGTGATGTTATTTCATAGCGAATTACAGCTGTTTCCTTTTTCTTCTGATATACGGTTTTTCATTCCTCAGTACTGCCGTTATTTTTTTATGCAAGCGACTATTATTTGTGTTATCATTTCATAGAAAATTACAGTCGTTTCCTTTTTCTTCTGATATACGGTTTATCATTCCTCAGCGCTGTTGTTATTTTTAAAGTTAGCAACTATTATTTGTGTTATCATTTCATGGAGAATTACAGCAGTTTCCTTTTTCTTTTGATACGGTTTCTCATTACTCAGCGCTGCTGTTATATTTTAATGCTAGCGACTATTATTTGTGTTGTCATATCATAGTGAATTACAGATGTTTCCTTTTTCTTCTAATATACGGTTTCTCATTACTCAGCGCTGCTGTTATTTAGCAACTATACTTTCTCATTAGCAACTACCGTTTCTCATTACACAGAGCTGCTGTTATTTTTAATGCTAGCAACTATTATTTGTGAGTTATCATTTCGTAGTGCATTACAGCCGTTTCCTCCTTTTTTCTGATATACGGTTGCACATTACTCAGCGCTGCTGTTATTGTTGATGCTTGCTCCTATTATTTGTGTTATCATTTCAGAGTGAATTGCACCTGTTTCCTTTTCCTTCTGACACACGGGCTCTCATTACTCAGCGCAGCTGACTTTCTGGAAATTATATTTCGTTGAAGAATTTGCAACACACAACTGTTTTTTGAATTATGAAATAACTTTTCATTACAAATAAACACCACTAAATATTATTACACCAACAAAGGCGTTTTATATTTTGTTTAAAGCAAACCTCCTACCCTGCTAGTCGCTGCCAACAACAATCCGTTAAAGACTTGACGAAGGATTTTAAATTGTAAAATACCACAGGACTACAAGAATATTGCCATTTTATAAAAAAATTGAAATTGTGGTCCAGGTGTACAGAAAATCTAGAGGGTTTCCTATGTGCAGATAACTTTTGAAAGGATTTCTGTTTGTAAAAGGTCATTGGAAGGTCTTGACCAATCAGACATCTGGTTTATTAATTTCAAAGATATAGAATAGCTCCTCTCTCACTTTAAGAAAATATGCCAGCAGAAGAAGAAGAAATAAGAAATCAATTTTTTTAATAATTTATTTCAACAAATCGTTGTTATTGTTTTTATTATCACTTCCTAATCTATCACACACAAAAAAATATTAAAAAAATAACAAAACAAAATTAATAACAAGTAAAGCTTTACGAACTTAGTTAGATTGGACTAAGTAAGGAAAGGATGGATGGATAAAGGAAGGAAGGACGATTAGCGCATTGTGGGACGTATGAACATAATTTAAGTTATGGGATATGGGGGTGGTAGTGGGGATAGTGGCGTTAAAAAAAAAAAACTATTTACAAACAGACCACATTCGAATGGTGTCGGATCCCAGAATTTAGAATTTTTCAGCTGGTGGTCCGTATTGTTCGGCAGGAGCGGCTGGTGGGCCGTATTGTTCGGCTGGTTTGTTTTGTTGCTTGTACTTGATGAAGTACACCTCGGGCTTGCTGGGCTCAGTGGGTTGGGGTGTGGGCAAAATGATGGGTTGTTGTTCTTCGGGCTTCTTAACCAAGACATAGACCAATGTTTTGTGTTCATCCTGGACAGGGGGTGGAAGGACTTGACGGACGGGGGCAGGTGGGTTGGGAGCCTTGATGAAAATGATTTTGTAGTGTTTCTTGGGCACAGCAGTTTGGATGGGTGCTGGGGCGGGATAGGATTCAGGCTCCTCTGGTGGCACATGGACATAGACATTCTTGGTTACCAACGTCTCGGCCACGGGAGGTCCATAGAAAGGAGCTGGAGCACCATAGACGGGTAAAGGTTGAGCTGATGATTGGGTAGGTGGCGGGCCATACTGCTCAGCAGGCTTGGGTGGCAAGTATTCCTTTTGGGGAGCTGGGGGAGGTCCGTAACGGCTTTTGGGAGGCTCGGGGCGAGCGGCCACCACGGCCAAGGTACAGGCTAACACAATGAACAATTTCATTTCGTTTTGTGTTTTTTGGTTAATCCCGAGAATTCGTTGTTTGTTCTGCTATGGGCAGTGATGATTTGATACCTCCAACCACTTCGTACTGGGATTTTATACCACAACGGAAGTTGAAAACAATTTTTTCTTTTCGTTTTTGGTTATTACATATTTATTGTTTTTATTGTTATTACCTCTGTTTTTCGATTTCGATTTCGTTTCGATGCAAACACGAGTAGCCACTGGCCGGTAGCCTAGTCTTTTGGCTGTCGGCTGGGAGAGTCTATTTTTGGGGTTTTCGATTTTTGTTTTTTGCATAATTTCTCAAAGCACAACTTCGGCAGTGATCGATTAATTGCAATCCGAATGAACACGAAGCCCGGTGTTGCTAAAAGTTCGCCCAGCCAAAACAAACGGGCCTAATCAGAAATGCGAGCCTCGGCGGCTACGAATAATGTTTGTACGCGATCGGCATACTAATCGAGTGATCGATTTAGCAAATCGACCACTGGCGTCCAGATGATGATGGTGGTGGTGATGAGGATGACAAAATGCAGCCATGTATGTAAGTGAATGACTGCATGGTGGCAGTCGTACTGCCCCCGAGCTGTCCAGCCTGTGTGCAAGTTGTGGTGTCTGTTTTTTTGGTTTGCCAAAAATGCCCAACCGGCCCAGCGCTCCAAAAATGTTTGCGGTGTTACAACAAATTATGTAATAATTACTTTTTGACAATGTTGTTGTCGCCGTTCTCGGTAAAAGAAAAAAAAAAAACAAAAACAATGCAAATATTCGTTTTGTTGGCAGGCCTACCCCAAGCCAAGTCATGGTGTCAGCAATTAACGAGTCAAGCATTGTGGGGTTACTTTTGGCAAGTGTCTAGAGTGCAGAATATGCAATCAGTGCAAATATTTGATTTGTGGTGCAAACATTGAAAAACAACCTGTCCGATAGTCTGAGGTGTTGCGAATCGATAACATCTTGAAAGAAAAGGATACAAATCTTGACGAGTTGTTTCGCCATTACTGGGTCACACAGTAGTCACAGAGTGGTGGACGTTTTTTGCAGATTTTTTTTTAACAATTTGAAGTGGATGGCTTAGCCTCAGAGAAGTATTAGAGATTTTGTTCGCCAATGTGGAATCGATAAATAATACTCGTTGCTAAATTAATGCTCTGTTCCAGAACCTGCAAGAATCTACTATTTTTGCAATTTTTCCGATATCATAAAGGAAAAATCGGTTAACGTCAAAAATCAATGTTCCGTTGTTTCGTGTTGGTATTTGCAATTGTACATCACATGAGCACGGTAACCCATGAGAATACCCAAATATAGTTTACTGTTGTAACGTTCAGTTAGTTGTCTTTTACTTCTTCTTAAATAAAGAACATGAATTGTTAAACTTAAACGATCCTCGTGCCTCAACAATCATTTCTAATATTTCGCAAATATTCCGAATTGGTAGATAAAACATCTATCGAGGATAATTTATCTAACCTAATGAAAGAGGTGAAAAAAATTATCAACCGAATTGAGTATTTTATTTCCGAGTAAATAATTTATCCATCAACGTTAATTAGTTACCCTGCAACGTTGAAAAATTTGCTTTGGATAATTTATTTCTTCATTAACTTGGATGATGGCTGAAGGTAGCCATATAGCTAGAGAGGGTATATATCATTTGATACGGTCAAAACGTGCCTCAGACCTCTTTGGACCAAATCCGTTTCAGGATATTTGGAGGCGATCTAGCGATGTCCGTCCGTCTGTCTAGCTGGTATGCACCATAACTCTCGAAGGAGGTATCCGATTTGATCCAAAATTGGTACATCGTAATATTATTGACAAATTTCGAACGAGTTCGGAGATGGGAAATATCGGCATACTCCTTCTGGTACCTTCCCCACAAAATGTCAACATTTTCAAAGAAAATAATTTACTGCACAGAAAGCCAAAGGATAATCCGATTTTGCTCCAACTTTAAAAATCCTAATATTTACAACAGGGCTAGGACAGGTGTGAAAATGGACAATGTCGGTCCACTCCCTCAAGTACCTCCCCCACAAAGGGTCAACATTTTGAATATCCTTAAAGCTCATAAAATTGATGAAATTGACATCCGATTCCATTCGTACGTGGCATATCTCAATATTTTCATGAACATAAGATCTGTTTTAAATATTGAAGAAATCGCACCATTCCTTGTGGTACCTCCTCCACAAAGGGTCGAAGTTTGGAATAACCAAAAACAATCATAAAATCCCAAATAACCATGTGGTTCTCTTCAAATTATACAAATCATAATATTTTTATTAAACCAAGGTCTGGTGTGAACATGGGATGTATCGGACCACTCCTTCTGGTACCTCCCCCACAAAGGATCAAAATTTTGAATATTTGTGAAGTTCATAAAACACGAAATTGATATCCGATTCCATTCAGACTTGGTACATCTCAATATTTCTATCAACACAAGATCTCTTATAAAGATGGTAGAGATCGGACAATTCCTTTTGGTACCTCCCCCACAAAGGATCGAAGTTTTGAATAACCAAAATATTTATAAAATCCGAAAAAAGCATGTGGTTCTCTTCAAATTACACACATCATAATATTTTTATTAACCCAAGGTCTGGTGTGAATTTGGGATATATCGGCACACTCCTTCTCGTACCTTCCACACAAGGGGTAAAAATTTTGAAAATTTTGGTCAGCTGTAAATGTGCACCTTCTGTTGGCCACCAGAACTCAAGCGCCGGCAATGGTGATGGTGTGGGCAGTGGGACCGTGGCATCAAAATAAATGCCGAATATTATCGCAAAAATATTCTGAAGGGTGTATTAAAGCCTTGGTCATGCACGCATTTTGGCCGCAGACCTTGGATATTCCAACAGGACTCAGAACGCGCCACTCAAGAATGGTTACAAAATGAGGTTCCTCGCTTCATTTCCAGCGCACAATAGCCACCAAAATCTCAAGATACCAATCCGTTGGACTATTGTGTCTGAAGTGTTTTGGAAAGCAAGGTTGGCACTAAGAAATACCAAAGTGACGATCACCTTAAGCAAGTGCTTAGCCGGGCATGGACCAAAATACCGCAGAGCAACATTTGGGGCAGCGGACGACGGTTTCATTGGCCGTTTGAAGGCCATAATTTGTGCCAAAGGTGACCAATTCGAAAAAATCTGAACTTATTCTAAAATTTGATGCTATTTCCGAAATTTTTTGCTTTCATTCAATATTTAAAAAAACTATGGCGTTTAACTTTGTTGCAGTTTTTTTATCTCACCCGGTATATTAGCCTTAGGTCAGATACGAATTGGATAATATTAGACAACTGCTTCGGAAAAGTTTGAATAATCATAACTCAAGACTGAGGGTATACATCTCTCGTCACAGCCGACTGATACTATTTTACTTTTTTAAATGATTTTTTATAAATAAGAAGATTTTTATATATTTTCTTATAGGACGCCTATAGGAGGAAAAAAAATTACAAATTTGTATAAATTTTCATTTAAAATCGTCAATTTCAAAATTGGTTTGACAGTTCATTGTCTCAGCAGCTGTGTCAATGCGACTACCTGTATTCTTCTACCATGTGATGTTTGTTTACCTTTAACAGTTTTCCTACAAAAGAGAATAAAACACACCTTACTCTCTGAGAAAGAACATCTTCTTTGTAACAAGAAAAATAACCAGACACCGAATTTTAGTTACTCCATTGACAATGGGCCACAAAATTGTAATCTTATCTTAAATCGTTTTTTTTTTTTCAAAATCCCTTATCCAGTGTAACGGTTTTCTCGTGTTACCGGTTGAACAACAACAACAACAACAACAAAAAACAAACAGCAAATCAAAAGAAATGGTCAATCAAACTGAATGAAATGACAATCACGTAGGTAAATACCATTATTTTTTGGGGACGTGCGTGACCACCGGCTATGGAGGGGACGTACAAGTGCCTTAACGCATTGCAATTGATCGGTGGGGGTGCAGGGGTGTTCTGTGAAAAGTCATCAAACTACTGTCCAAAAATTGTTGTCAATCAATTAAAAAAAATCATTTGTGTAATGTGCGGAGGTGAGGTAAAGGTGGTGGTGGAGGGAGGAGCGTACTCCAAAAGGGAAGGCAATGTACAAACAACCTCCCCAAATTTAGGTTAAGGTCACTTTGTAGAGGTAATTACGCAGGCGCATTTATTTCGAATTTGTGGCATATGTATGAAGGTATTTAACCCACTTACGTTTATGTCATTTTTTGAGGTAGGTCTTAATTTATGCGGGAATATCTTGGAATACGGAATTTCGTGCAGTTTTAGTTGTCAAATGAGTGTTGATAGTTGTGATTTGGTATTTCAGGAGGTTTTGATTATTTTTTGGCTATCTGATGGCAGGAAGATGTCATCTAAACGGTAACAGAATCTTCTGGTATTTTCAGCATGACTCATTTCAAAACAACAAGAGGGGTTCATGGTCTAAGACTCTACATTTCCATCCAATAAAAATGGAAACAATCTGGCTTACATCTGATCAATTTCATCTGAAATTCCTTGAATGTACAACAATAATTCAGACGGCATTTTCCCCGTGTTCCATTTAAACTTTTTCTCACGAATTCTTATTGTCTTCGGAGAACTTAAACTGTTTTTTTTTTTATTAATAAGGTCTGTGCTTTTTCATACGAATAATTAAATTTCCCATTGGAAAATGACAATTTCCCAATGAGAATGGGTGAGTATGGCTGCTGTTCAAAGAACAAGTGCAAATCTGTCTCTGTTTCTTTTGGGTGTACGAATTGTAATGGAATTTCCTAAAGGAAAGAGAATGACACAGAAAAAAGGTAGCGTGAGAGTGCGTATACCAGGGATGGATATTACAACTGTATCGAAAATGGTATTGAAAATGGGCCATGTAGGTCCACGTTTTGGTATAGCCCCCCATAGGAAGGTACCTCCCTATTTTCGGTATTTTCATGATTTTAGCGACATTATTCACCGGAAATGTTTGAAATTTTGTATTTGAAGTTCGTAATAGATGTTAGAGCCTAAGACAGAAAATTGTCTGTGCAGGTCTACGTCTTCATATAGCCCCCATGAAATGGTACCTTCCGATATTCGGTATTTTAACGATTTTAACGATATTATTCACCGGAATTGTTTCAAATTTGGTATTTGAAGTTCGTAATGGATGCTACGGCCTAAGGTAGAAAATTGATATGGCCCCCCATTTTATAGTACCTCACTATATTCGGTATTTTGATGATTATTCACCGAATTTTGTTCCAAGTTTCGCATTTGAATATTGAATGACTTATGACAAAAGTTGCCTATGCAGGTCCATGTCGT